GCAGGCCTGCATCACGTCCCTTGCTGAGTTGCTCCCTGCGATTGCGGTTCAGCATGAGGGTCATTACCTCGCGGCGCCTTTGCAGGAGGCCCTGCTGACGCTGCTTCTGGGCCCAGCCGCAGTTGGCGCCCTCGAAAGGCTTATTGACGACTTGCGACGGCCACTGCCAGCACCCACCTTTGATTCGCTGGGCCTTGACGCCGCTGGCGCTGCCCAAGCTGCCGGTGCTACGCCCGCTCGCGTCGACACCCGGGACCACGCTGGCGCTGAGCCTACGGAGCCGCCTGCGGCTTTCCCAAGCTGCCCACCACACGGAGGCCAGGTTGTTGGCCGCGGCGCCTCGCATGTCGCTGCCCCGGAGACGGATGACTTTGTCGCGCTTGCTGCAGCGTCCGTAGTGGAGTCGGAACGCCGCGCGCGCGGGCGTGGCCGGCGCGGTGGGCGGGGACGGGGGCGGGGACGGCCTGGCCGCGAGCACGCCCCTCCCCCGTCCATCCCGGCTGCAGTCCAAGACGATGCCCCCCCGCTTCCAGCCAAGCCCTCTGCTCCTACCACCGCCCCTTGCGCCTGAACGTCGTGTCCTGTCCGCCGAAGCAGCATTTCGAGTAGGGCTTGAAAGTTTGGATGACGTCGACCTCGAGGCCACCCTGCGCAGGCGCGTCTTGACGCTCCAAAGTGTCCCGACCCAAGTCTGCGGCACGCTGCGCACGGCCTACCGAGCAGGTCTTCAGCTTGTCGCTGACACTTCCACGCCTGCCTGCGAACTCCGAGGCTGGAAGCTCTTCTACTTGGCCGCCCGCATGCTGCTCCATCGTGCCGCTGGCCAGAGCCGCGTCCCCCCTGCCGAACTCGAACAACGATGCGCGCTTTTCCGCAGTGGGGCTTGGCCATCCCTCCTCGCTGCTGCTGATGCGGCCTTGCGTGTGCCTGCGCCCGATGCTGCCCGCGCTGGCCGTGCTGACGAGGAGGCTCGTGCAGCCCGCGCATCAGCGCTCGTTCACTTGGGCGAGCTGTCCGCTGCTGGGCGTGCCCTTGCCCGGCACCCCCGAGACGCTGCGCGAGCCGCTGCATTCCTTCCTCGCGTCTCTCCGGCATGCCCGCCGGGGCTCCGCTGCAGGCCCATCTGGAGCCACCAATGAGCACCTGCGCATCCTACTTGACCATGAGGGGGGCTGTACGCTCCTGCATCAAGCCGCTGAAAGGCTCGCGCGCGCGCGGAGGTCCCTTGGCCCATCCTTGCTGCCATCCGGGTCGGGCGTATTGTCGCGCTCCGCAAACCTAACGGTCGTGTGCGCGCGCTCGTCGTTGGGGACGTGCTGCGCCGGCTTGTCGGCCGCACGCTGGCGCAGCTGTACTCTTCCCAGCTCCAGAATGCTTGCTTGCCCTTCCAATATGGCTTGAGCACCCGCGGGCTCTGAGGCCCTTGTCCGGGTGCTGCGCTTTGCCTCTGAAGTCGACCCGCGGGCAACAGTGCTCTCCATCGACGCAATTGGAGCATTTGATCATGTATCCAGGCAGTCGATGCTAGCCGCCCCTAGGTCCAGAGAAAGCCTCCACTCCCTACTCCCCTACGTGCGCCAGTTTTATGGGTCCGATAGCAAGGTGGTGCTGGCGTTTGCCACGATGTGCGGCAATGCGAGGGTGGAGAGCAGGGCGACCCCCTGATGCCTGCTCTTTACGCCCTCGCGCAGCACCCTGCCCTTGCTGCAGTCCAGCGGCGCTTGCAGGAGGGCGAGGCCCTTTTCGCCTTCCTCGACGACATCTATGTTGTCGCCGCGCCTGAGCGGATTCGCGCTTTGCTGGATGCCTTCGAGGAAGAGATGGAAGAGTTGCGGGCCCATGCCGGGATCGAGCTCAACAGGGGCAAGACCCGCATTTGGAACGCCGCAGGCGAAGAACCACCCGGCATCTCTCACTTGCAAGGGGCGGGCGGGGAGCCTGCGTGGGTCGGTGATTGGTCCCTGCCGCGTGACCGCCAAGGCCTCATCGTCCTCGGCACTCCCTTGGCACAGATGCATTCGTCCAGCGCATTGCTGCGCAGCATCCCCACTGTTCCGGACCTGCAGGCGGCATGGCTGCTCTTGCACTATTGTGCCGTACCGCGGGCGAAATACCCCTTACGCAATGTGCCCCAGCGCTCACCCCCCAATATGCCACCGACCATGATGGCGGCATAGCAGCGTGCCTCGCCGCGCTCCTGGACCAGGCCGATCAGCCGCTGCTCGAAGAGACGCTTAGTGCGTCACAGCTTGCCCTGCGGCATGGGGGACTGGGGCTCCGCTCCGCCGTTGTCGATCGTCATGCCGCCTACTGGGCATCTTGGGTCGACTCCCTGCCAGCTGTGCGAGCGCGGTCACCACTCGTAGCCGACAACCTTGTCCAGGCGCTTGCCCATCCTGGCGCTGCTGGCTCCAGTAGTGTCGTCGCGGCAACGCATGCTGCTGACTTCCTTCGCGCCCAGGGCTGCGACGTTCCAGCCTGAAATGTCGCACAGTCCGCCCCCGTTGAGTTTGATGGACCCCCCGACCAACCTGGCGACTGCCTGCGCGGTTGGCAGCGTCATGCTGCCCATGCCTGCGCTCAGCGCGCCTTCCGGATGCATTTCGCCACCTTGTCTCCCGCATCCAGAGCGCTGCTGCTGCCGCAGGCCGGCCCGCATGCTGCCCGTGCCCTCACCGTCCGGCCTACGCACGAAGGGGTGACCATCCCCAGTGCTGAGTTTCGGGTACTCTTGTTGCGGCGCTTGCGACTCCCACTGCCCCTGGCCCCGCATGCCTGCTCCTGCCGCGGGCAGCTCGACGCCCTTGGGGACCACCGCGCGGCGTGCGCAACGTCCGGAGCCCTTGCATCTCGGACACTGCCCCTCGAGCGGGCCGTTGCCCGCGTCTGCCAAGAGGCCGGGCACGCGTGGCGCGCAACGTGCGGTTGGCTGACATGAACCTACTGACGCCGGTCCACCGCGCCCGCCGCATTGAGATCGTCTGCAGCGGCTTGACATTGTGGCACGGGGCCCAGCTAGCCGTTGACACCACGCTCGTGTCCCCGCTCACTCGGGCCGGAAAGGCGCGGCCAGGGGCTGACTCCCGCCCGGCCACGGCCATCCGCGCTGCGACGCAGCGGAAACGGCGGGACACCTACCCTGAACTGCAGCGCGCCCGCCGTTGCCGCTTGGTAGTGTTCGGCCTGGAGGTCGGGGGCCGATGGGGGACCGAAGCCGTCACTTTCCTGCGGCTCCTTGCCCGTGCGCGCTCTGCCAGCGTCCATGCCACCGTGCGCTCCTCCGCAGCCGCCGCGTACGTCGCCCGCTGGAGTGGCCTCATCGCCGTTGCAGCGCAGCGGGCGTTTGCCGCCTCCCTCCTTGAGCTCCCCTCGAGTCCGTCGCCTCTGCTGCCGGAGCCCCGGCTTTGCATGAGGTGCTCGAAGAGGGTCGTTGGCTTCAGGCTAGCGCTAGGCGCCCTGCAGATGTCTATGTGCCTATCTGGGGCCTGCATGGCCCGGCGGCCTTTGACCTTGCCATCACTGGCGGACTCCGCGCCTCCGTCCTTGCTGCCTCTGCTGTTGATGGGGCCAGCGCGGTTACGGCTTATGAAGATCGTAAGCGCCAATACCAGGCCACCGCCGCCCAGTGCCGTGCTCAGCTTGTTGCCGAAGCTTGTGGGGGCGGATGGGGCGCCGAGGCTGTCAAAGTGTGGAAGACCCTCTAGGCCCTGCTCGCAGGCCGGGCTGGGCTTACCCCCGGACAGGAACAGGACCAACTCCTTCAGCTTCTCAGCATCACTTTGCAGCGCGAGAACGCACGGGCTGTTTTCCGGCGGCTGCCCTCGGACACTGCCTCGCTCCCCGTCCTCCCCCATTGCTGATGCCATTCCTGCCGTACCTCGTTGTTCTTACTGGCCCGGTTGTCGGGATCTGCTCGCCTCAGCCATGCGCCCCACGAGTGAGTGAGTAGTTCTTGAGCCTACGGCCTGTACAGGGTGAGCGGGCAGCTTGGTCCAGTCTTTGCGGGACGCCGGGAGCTGTGGCTGGAGTGGCGGGCTTCTGGGCTACGGCTCATCTGTCGCGTTCGGCTGTTTCTAGGACGCTGGGACAGCCCATGGTGTCGGGGCCTCTCATCTGCCACATTTAGGATTTTGATCCGCTGGCGCCGCCCTCAGAAGTAGGTGCGTGTTGTTCAGGGTGTTTTGTTTCCCTAGGCCTCCCTCAGAAGTAGGAGCAGGCTCTCTCATTTTGTCACATACCCTTGCCATGAGAGAGCGTTGGCTTGAAGTCGCCGCCCCGAGCCGACTTCCGGCGCGTGGCTGAGCGTAGCTTGCACAGGGACCGCGCTCCGACAGGTGGAAAAAGTGTGCGAGAAAAGAAAAACCAGAAAAAGAAAAAAAGGAGCGCGCGAAAGAGCGGCGCCTTGCCGGTGACCGCACAGGCCCGCGCACAGCTTGCTTTGCGGCATGGTGACTTGGGTTTGCGGAGTGCCGCCAGGCACGTGCCGGCGGCCTATTGGGCCTCCTGGGCCGACTCGCTGCGAGCCGTTGCTCTGCGTGATGCCGCCTATGCCGCTGCCCTGCTGCTCTCGCAAGCTGGTCCGCATGCTGCGCGAGTTTTCGTTGGCCGAGGACTGCAGCGTCATGGCTTGCCGCATGCCCTCGCTTGGTCATCGAGTGGCAGGGTCCGGGCGCCAGGACATCACGCAAGTGGGCATCGACAAACCCCCGGGTACCGAATGGGACACCGAATGCGGCAAGACCGGGGGGAGCGCGCCAACCTCCTCCGTATGCTTCCTCGGCACTGCGCCGATTATTCCCGTGAACATGATCGCCCCATAACCTGGAACGCGGAGTCAAGGGTCAGCGACCCCATGTACGAGAGGATGCCCGTTCCAAAAGCTCCACCTCCAGAAGCAGGGTTCCGCTTACAAGGGTCAATAGAATGCCTTATGGAATCTTATGGACCTGTCACAAGCGTTTGTGGCAGATTTTTGTCAGCCTGACAATGTTCACGCACGGATGGGGTATCAAATGGCCGGCAAGCTGTGCCTACTGGGCTTGGGGCCAGACCCGAAACTTCGCGCCTTGCTGGAAGCGCCCGAGCTACCAGCTGATGCCCTTGCCACGGCGCAGTTACCGCTCGGGTTAGAGGGCCTGGGTCCGGTGCGGTGCACCTACTGGGTCTCGCGATGTCTTTTTTGTCGACTGGAAAGCTGAGGCTGCGCCTGCCGCACCTCACCCTCCGCACGGGGACGGCCACCTGCGTGGCTGGCAGCGAGCTGCCGTCGCTGTTTGTGACGAGCGCGCGCTCGAGAAGCACCTTTCTCAGTTTGCCGCCCCCCTTGGCGCCGCGCGCCTGTTGTTGCCCAGGCTGCCTCGGATACAGGAGTGGAGTTTTTGCAGCTCGCAGACACCCACATGCTGCTTGGAGTTTGTTGCCATGGGCGTTGGGAAACTCGTGACAGTTTCCTGCTTGGCGTGACCCCGGCCGGTTGTGAGTTCCAAGATCCCCTCCTTTCAAAGCTTGGCTATTTCTTTTCACCGAACAGCACGAGCATCATCGGACGAGACGGCACCAACCTTTCGTGGCCACGAACATTGCAAGCTGTTTGGTTGAAGCAGCTACAAGAGAACGGCGACCAATTTCCCCGAAATAATCATAGAACAGAGCTCGTCGCGGACAGGGTCCTTTCTTTATCTGGCGGGAAATGCAGCATCGTCGGGATGGCAGTCGGCATCGTGGGGTATTCTCATATCGGATTATCGGAAGCAAGGAAGCTGGCGGTGTTGTACAAGCCAAGCCCATACCGTGTCAGAGACGGCTTAGACAGCAACATGTGGCTGAATCTTGGAGAATTGCCGTGGGTGGAGGGGCCCGACTTGTCTGCACACGACTGGCGCCTGACCATCGTCTTCAAGCCTCGTCATGGAACCAAGCCTAGGCCCCAAAGGCCGACCGGGAAAGTCCAGCGGCCGCCGCTCCTTCCCTTGAGAGTTGAATCCGAACCCACTCGACGACCCTCCTTATTTGGAGATCCTGGAGACAGATGGTGATCATCTGCTGGGGTGTCCAACAAAGGTTGGTGACAACTTGAATGGAAGGGCAAAGGGCCGCGGTTTTTTTTTCGAAGACCTTAGACTCTAAGACAGGCGCTGGCAGAACAGGATTGAAAATTAGATTCACATATAGTTATTCTCGACTTGCTATTGAAGAATGAAATGATTTGTTCATCTTTATCGCTTAACTGCTAAGATGATTATCGTAAATAATTCATCATGGAATTATTATCTGTCCAGTGATTTTAGGATTCTGATAGTCAGTTATCATGCATAAAGAGTAGTCTTTGATTTGGGAGCCACGCCGCAAGTAGGAGAAACCGAAACTCCACCTTTTGGGAACCAGCCCAACCAAGAGCTAATCTAAGCCGGGCAAAGCCAAGTCTCACCTAAGCAAAGAGACCTTCGCTGCTGTTGACACATCTTGCCACTGCCGAGTGCCAGAGTCGGTGCCACCACGCAACCACGCCCTGCCGTGCCGCCGAAAGTATAGGCCACGTACTTGTTTTCGACTGTATGACTAGTACAGCGACGTATCAACAAGCTGAATCATCAACCGGCAGTAGCTCCGGGATTCATCATGGTGCAAAGGGATTCTTGCGCAAACCTTCGGCTGAAGCTTCCCAGCATGCCCCGCGACAGGAACAAGGGCAATGCCCAACAACAGTACCGTACATCTTTGCATCAACGAGGACACTTCATTAGAAATATGCATCCAAAACGATTCGCCTACCAGCATAGAACCGTTCTCGCCATGGCTGATGCCTGGGACTGGGAAGAAAGCATCCGGGAGCTGGAAGTGAAGCTTCGCAAGGAGTTCCATGCGAGGATGGACCGTTTGGAGTCCGAGATTCGGACTCTCAAAGACACCTGCCTAGAACGGATTCAGTAAGCTTCTTTTGGACATTCTTTCTGGATAGATGACATATTTCCTAAGCGGCTCGATGTCTGTAGGAGAGCTGAGGACAGTGCAGTTCTCATCCCCAGTCCTCCAATGGAACCTGGGTGCCAACCAGATTCGGTGGCCCCTGAAGGGGGTTTGCCGAAGCTGGAAGTGCAGCCACGAAAAGCTTGGGCAGAGGAGGATGCGGTTCCTTGGGTGCTCTTGCCAGTATGCTCCGTGTTGTGTTTAGAAACAAAGGCGCTAGCCAGCGTACAGCAGTATACAAGCATCTTTAGAAAGTGACGTGCACGTAGCATGCTATGATTTACTTGGAGTGGTGTAGGGCTCCCTGAACATGATGCCAAGACTTTGGAACCCATCGCGTTCACGGAGTCCACCTGGAACCTGATCTTGGTCCTGGGCTTCACGGGGGCTGGATGGCTGGACGCCTTCATCGGATGTGCAGTCTCCTGTGCAAGTCCTCTCTTGCAGCTCGCCTTCTGCCTGTCGCTTCTGACCAAAGGCTTCCTAGGGGCACCCCTCCAAGACCAAGTTGAGATCGCAAAGAAGTGGAGAGCGGACACAGCGCACGACTACCGACACCTAGATCTTGCAGACACCAGCCTTGTGTCGCGTGTATGCAATGGCGATGAGTCACTCATCATGTCAATGCAGCACGCAGATTTGATTTCTGGGGTGGACGCATACCTGGGCTTGGAAACCTTCATGTTCAGCCCAGATGGCTTATCTCCTGGGGTCGTGCTCTGCATGCTTTGCATTCTGTGGTGGTGCCTCTACCTGTGCAGGGAGTTCCGGGCAATTGTCGCCTCTTTGGAGGGGTTGTGGCAGGTGCCATTGCAGGTTGCGACCGATTTCGAGGATGGTAGCCTACGCTCCTTGTCGAGGGTGCGTTTCTGGCTGTTCTACGCAGCACGGCTGTCGAAGGCGGTGATCTCCGGCTTACTGCTGGCGGCTGGCATTCAGTGGCTTACAAACACGACATCCATCAAGGACCTGCTGCTGCATGCCGTGGCGTTGAAGAGCCTGCTAGAGCTGGACACCATCTTATATGCGGCCTTCATGCCAAAGAAGATACAGGTGAAGATTAAGAAGCTCAAGCCTCTGCAATTTCGCAGCTCTGCATGGCGAAGCCAGATTGAGTCCCTTTTCTTCGTGCTGTGCTTCTTGGCGTTGATGTTGTGGACGTGGTTCCAGCTCATTGATCCGCTCATGGATACCATGCAAGTAGTGAAGCGTGAGTACTGCGGCGGAAACCAGGACTTTGTAGTTGCCATAAATGAGCATCATGGCATTGCTGTTGCACGACCCACTGCGCCGTATGTTGCAGAGTCGATGTCGGGCCACCTGGAAATTGCAGTGTATGAGTACGCCTTCGCCTCACAGAATTCCCAGCATATCTTGTTTCACGGCACAACGAGCGATTTTGAGAATACGCGCTTGGAGACGATAGAGACAGCTGCAACCGCGCTAATCGAATGTGTGGATCTGGACAGCTGGTTCCTCCGGGGTGAGGGAGTGCCTGTTGCCAGCCTCTATGGGCCATACTGGTGGTCAACTGCAGTTGGCTTGGGTTTGGCTACCAACAGCACGTGCGCAGACATGGCCGCCCATTGCGACAGCAGCGAGTCGCAGCTCCTGCGGATGGTTTGCGGTGTAACTTGCGGCTGCGGCGAGCCACAGGCCAATGTGATGTACAAGGTTCAGGCGCAAGGGTGCTTGAAGAAATGTTCCCAGGCTTGGAAGGTGACAGTTTTCATCGGAGAGCCAACTCCATTGATTTTTGTCGTGATCGCACGCAATCACGTGTTTGGGCAGAGCTTGCCTGCAGCCAAGGTCGGGACCAGGTGCCGCACCGGATCGACGCAGGCACACGAACGTGTATAGCTGTACAAAGCCCATTTGTCCTCTCCCTTTCTTGCTCTCACTGTTAGCCCTCAGCCGCGTCTTTTTTTCGCTTCGGCCTTGGGTCGCGAGTGTGCGAGTGTGGGTCTCTGATGGTTGCCGGTTTTGGGGGTTGCTGTGTTGTCAGACCTGCGTCTTGCGGCCTTTCAGATGATTCCCTGCGCGCAAGCCATCAAAGCAGTGGCACCTCTGGGATTGTGTGGTGAAGTTTCGAACAGGCTTTGGGAGGGAAAATAGGAAAAGGAGCCTACCGGTGGATTCCAGAAGAGCGTCCAGCTGATGGGGAGTTCACAGGGGACCCTAGGGTGTTTATGTGCAGGAGGGGAGGGGGGGGTGGATGAGGGGGGCCCCCAGAGAGGGTCCGAATGTCTATCAAGGAAGGGGGATGTCGGTTTCCGCCATGTCACTCCCTGAGAGGTCCCTGTGAAGATGTTGCAAACCATTCGGCAACTTGGCAGTCCTTCTGGGACCTCTACCCCTCGGCCATCCGGAGCTACTACGGTGCCGCCCAGACGCAGAGCTTCGAGCTCGAAGCTACGGCCACAACCATGAAGGCAGGGGGCTGCGCCTCGCTGGTTGAGCTGCCTAGAGTCGTCCAGTGTTACACTTTGAGCTTTATCTACATTGTTGGCTCCTACTAAACATGAACCGAAAGGAAAAGGTTGCTTTTTTTGGTTTCAGGCTTGGGCCACCTAGGTTGCCCATGGACAGAGTCTCCGAAAGCCGCTTCTGCGATGGGGACCCGCGGCTCTTTGCCCCCTTGAGCCAGCTTTGCCCGAGGACTTGTTGCGTAGGAGACGGTCCTTTTTGCCCATCGAGTTGCAGCCTTTAAGGCCCCCCAGACCCATGCCGGAGAAGTAGTGGGGGCACAATTTTCGCCGGCATTTGCGCAGGCCTGATGGGCCTACGCTCGGACTTACGCTCGGTGCCTGTGCTCACCCACTCCATTTTCCTGTTCAGTATCATCTTGTCGGGAGGCGGTAAGTTCCTCCTCACGCCTGCAGTCTCAGCATTTTGGCACCTGCTCTCTAAAGGAGGCAGGGCGTTGTGCAGCTTGAGCAAAGACACTTCAAAAGACACGGGGTAGTTTGTAGTCCAGTAGCTGTAGCCCCTGCGAGCTTCTCCTCCTCGAACGTAGTCACTGTGTTCTGTCGCGAAACCAGTTCACTAGAGTGCATTCTCGTGCAGCAACTTTCGCGCCGCAGAGTGGATTACTGAAAGGGTCGTTTACTCCCGCGCGCATCACCCATGTGCCCTGCGCCACTTCTATCTCGAGAGGCCCAGCAGAGGTGGTGCCGCAAGCTTCAACAGACAGATGATCTCACAATGTCTCAATCGCAGCACACCATTTGAGTTGCGTAGGATGTATGCACAGAGTATTTTGAATGCATGCCTGTTTGGCAGCTGCTGTTTTCGTATCTGTAAGCAGCAACAAAGCCTTCAATCCTGTGCATGGCGTTCGATGGCAATGTATTGGCACCTTAGTTTTCAGTACGCTAATTGTCCTACAGCGCAGCATGCAAGCTCTGCACGCCCTGAGCGGGGTTTGCACTTGCAGCTGTTCGGTGCTCGATGTCATTGCGAGTGCCGACCGAGCGAGCCAGGTGGGTCTGGCTATGGGAAGCGACTTGAAGGGTACCTGTAGTGCGGGTATCCCGGCAGGTAGTATGCAGGTTCTTGTTGAAATTGCATGCTGCCGTGCGGCTGGCCCTCCAAGTGTTACGGCAACAGCAGGTTTATGTTTTAATTGTCGATTTTTGCTTGTGCCATTTGTGTGATCATGCTGGGCGATTTTGATGACCACCGCAACGGCGATGACGATGACGACGACGACCATGACCAGCACAATAGCTACGCCGACTACTCTCATGGCGAAGACAACAATAACGACCATGACTGCGTCAACACCACTATGACTACGACTTGATTGCGTCAACACATGACAAGTTGATGTGCAATATTCAGAACGAGTAATCGTATTAAGTAAGTTTAAACTTTATATATGCATATATATATATATATACACAAACTGCAGAAGCTACGACTGCTGCAAGTACGATTTACGACTACGACTACGTACCACGCCGCTGTTACTGACTTCCAGTATAGTGAGTACGACCAGTATTCTCTTTCTTTGTCATGTTGTGTTCTATTCCTATATATTCCTATCAGTACAGCTGCAGGCAGCTGCCAGTGCCAGCCAGTACCTACCAGGACCAGGACTTCGCCGCAACAACAACAACAACAACTGCTACTACAACGACCATTGCCATTGACAACCGCGGCTTCACTTCTATTTTGAATACAAGACGAAAAATAAGCTGCCCAGACTGAGTGATATATGCTTGTGCCTAGTATCGCTCGCTATTTTCGCTCTTCGCGTCGTCACCATTTTCCTCGGGCTTAGCCTTAAACTTATGACTTATGACTTCTAACTTATGAATTCTGACTACTTGTACTCTTTGCTGCATTCGTGAGACGTTGCACAGGGCGATTGCACCTGACCAGTGATGCCACATGCCGTTCCACTGCGAGGCTTGGGACCTTCTGCGACACATGGGAAGTTCTGAGGGTCCAAAGTTGCCGTGAACCCACAAGCACGCTGAGGCAAAAACTGCGCTTTGGTCAGGATTGCTGTTCTTTCTACAGGGGATGAGTGCACTGTCAAGAATTCCTATCGTCTAGTGGATCTCCCGGGATGTTCTGTCTGGAAGCACTGCGCCAACGCCGCTGGAGACTATGTAGCCCTTGTCGTTTGCACATTCTTTCCACTTGGAGCAGGCACAGGTTCTGTTCCGGCTGAAACAGGCACGTCAAACATGAGAGTTGCTTGTGATTTTTGCGCTTATGTCGGATATCGGCCGTATTATTGGCTTGGGAAGGATCGGTCCGTCATGATGCCATCTTTCCCTCACAGATACGATATGTTCTGTGACAGCAGATTGCTTATTGAGTCATTGAGCGCACACTTTCCACCCTTTTACTTCATGTCCTCTTCAGAAAGCTTTTTCCTTTTCCACGGCCATTCCGTTCTGCGGCCATACTTGTACTGCTGAGAGCCATGTCCGTGGAGCTGGCGCGCCGCATTCAGAATGCCTTCGACAACGTCGACCTGGATGGAAACGGCTTGATCTCCAAAGAAGAGACGCGAGATTGCCATTGATGGGGTTTTCAACAAACCCTCGTTTTTCATCTGGCTGTTTCTTAACCCAAGATCTCTCAACTGACTGGCGTTTGGACTCGCCTTCTTGATCCTGTAGTTTGACCTTTTGGTCAGGCCCTGCAGAGGCCGGTAAACGTGGGTTCAGCATCTTACTCCCGAACTGAGGGAAGCCCTCAACCCTAAATCCTAGGCCCAAAACCCTAGACCCTAAGCCCAATACCCTTAGACCCTAGACCCAACACCCCTGAAACCCTACACCCTTAACCCTGAACCCTAATCCCTAACCTTCAGAAGCCTGACGCCCGAAACGAAGCCGAGAAGCGCGAGAAGCCGAGGATCCACCAGCTGTTTTTGAGCCTCGGGGGCTCCGAACTCGACGACTTGGTTCCTGGACCTACAGAGATGTTGACAAAAGGGGGCAGTCCAGGGTTTAGGGTTTAGGGTTGAGGGTTTAGGGTTTAGGTTTTCGGCCCCCAACCATATCCTCCTCTTGAGGCGCCCTGAGGCGATGGAGGCATACAGGTGTGCTTTTCGGAATGGTATTCAAGTATGCCAAGCCTATCGCCAGCCCCTCCCGACTGAACTTACTGTTCTGTTTTGGTTGGTCCTGCAATGACAAGGTCAGCAGTATGGACACGAACAAAGATGGCAAAATCTCTGCTGAGGAGTTTGTTTCGTGGATCCTCAATCAGGAGCCGAGTTCCCAAAAGGTATATACATCACCTATCTTCCTTGTTTGCACAGGGTCTTGTGCTTGGAACTGACGGCAGGAGAAAGCCTCAGAGACCTCGGTGCGAATCAACATGGGCCAGCTGATGGAGAGGACGGCATCGGCATGTTTGGTCAAGCCCGAGTTTGTGACACCCGATGTGCCTCAATACGACCTGCGCTGCCTGCCGGACGACGACAGCTGGCTGAAGCTACGGCAGAAGCTCCAGGACCCAGAAAGGTTCCGCATGCTGTTGAACCTTACGGCTCCGATTTTTCGGAGGGCATTCAGTTTCAGCTTGCGGAAACTTTGATCTATGCCAAGCCCAGCCCAGCAGTTACCCAAGCCTTCAAAGCCATGGTCCTTGTATGGACGGCTGGTGCCTGTGTGAGTACTGCACAGGAAACTTTGTATTTTGTGGCATTAGCGCCCCAAAACTCATCTCTTCTTCCTCCCGCTGAGGGCTGAAAGACAGAGTTTTCGTTGCATTTTACGATCTAGGGGCACTTCGCGAGCACTAGAATCCAAACTTCCAGCGGCAAGGTCCTGGAGGCTGATTCTTGGAGTTGCTGGGTGCCGAATGTAGCCTTTAAGTAGCATCTAAGTGGGGTTGTTAGTGTAGGATGACAACTAGCAATGCAAGATGCTGCTCTCACTGAACAGGACGACAAGGAGGTCTTCCAAGACAAGGTTTTTGGCCCTACTGACGACTCCTTGTCCCTCAGCCTTTCAAAAACCGATCTGTGTAGGGGACGTTGGTCAACATATTTGAAAGCAGGTCGCAGAAACCCGCGTCGCCTCGTAACTTTGAGGTTTGGCGGCAGCGCGGTGGAGTTGGGTGACAAAGCCGCCGGGAAAAGACCCTTCAAGGCCTTCCGCTATAGGGATGTTCCAGCCGAGCGTGCCGTGTGCAGAGTGCAGAGGAAATCCTCGACCAACAGTGGCCCACATGTAACACGAAGACAGCGCAGGTGGATCACTGGGCTCGCATCTGGGACATGGCCAAAGAAGGTTGCAACGGACCGCTGATCAAGGATGGAGCTTGCGCGCACGACATTCAGCAGGAGTGGGGTGGGGGTGTGCTGGCAACAACTGCAAGTCTTCGGGATGTTTGTTGGCCAAGAGGGTTCCGGCAATACGAGTGACATAGAAATATGCTAGCTTCCCACAAAATCCTTGCTACTCAGCGGTTCATTCAATCTGCAAGGCACCATGTTCACGCATGGTTCTCCTGTGGCAGTCTTGCCCCTGAAGCCCACAAATCCACAATCCCTGGCAGGGCAATCTGGGGGACTGCTATTTCCTTTCTGCCGTTGCAGCAACTTGGACCTTCAGAAGAAACACAGGCGTTAAGGGAAGGAGCTTCAGTATGGCCAGTCATGGGGAGGCATTTGGCCCATTTTGCAAAAGCCCGGGCCTCGAATGCTCGAATGAGGCCGTATCGCAGTCCGACGTGCTCGTGGCTAGACTGTTGCCTGGGTCCCAGACCATCAATCAGGAGGGGCGCCTGGGACGCAGCTGAAAGGGGTTTCCAATATTTCCAATTCTCATGCTGCACCCAAGCAGGGCACCCTGTTTCATTTTTGCAGCTCAGGATCTATGCAGTCCGTTTCTGGCAGGATGGGGCCTGGCGGATCTTGGCCTGAGAAGCCCTGCTGTCTGCAACAGACCACACTCACAAAAGGCCTGACCCTAAACTAGACGCAGCACTTTTCAAGCAGTTGTTCAGTGTGAACCCTCTGAAGAAGTGTCCCCGCGGTGTGCACGAGTGCCGGGCGGGTGGCAAAAAAACTAGACTGACAAATCGCGAAGTAGTGTATATACCAAGAACAAGATTAAACCTGCTAGAGTTGAATTCTCAAAGCCCGAATCCCATATTATTGGACACAGGGCTAGGGAGGCTTTGTTCCTTGGCTTCTAGACTCTAGACCCAGGATCGTGGTGGTCGACGACCAGTTACCTTGCAGAGGCAAAGACCAGCCCATCTTTGCAGCTGCCAGAAATGGAGACTTCTGGGTGGCGGTTGTGGAGAAGGCTGCTAGCAATCAAGCCATCAAGCTTCAGTGTGGCTTTAGAATTGTACGAAAGAGACTGATGCCAGAGCAGAGAGAGAGCAGAGGGAGAGACAAAGAGGCTTTTGCCAAACTCAATGGGAGCTACCGCGCCATCTCCAGCGGCTCGCAGCCTGACGCGCTCTTCTGTCTCACAGGCATTCTTATGCCCCGGACCCTGCAGCTTGGAATCAATGGCACGGTTTGGGGTTGGTTTGGGGTTTGGGGTTTAGGGTTTAGGGTTTAGGGTTTAGGGTCCCGGTCGTAGAGCAACTGCCAAGGAAGCTTCGGCCGTATCGCGCTGACCCTTCAGACAAGCAGGCCGCCTTGGCAGAAAAGGGAGAAGGGCTTGTTCTTGGGCATTCGTTTGGAGTGGGGTCCTAGCAAGTTTCAGATCGCCTCACCCGAACCATCCAAAAGGACTCCCAAGATCCCTGAGGAGCTGTTCAATCTCATGTGCGAGTGTGCCAGCACGGGCGGCCTGCTGGGTTGTGCGAGCAAAGGCTCGCCTCGAGAAGCGTTGATGGTTTGTCTGTGGCAGTGTCTTTACCTCTGTGCCTGTTCGGACTTTGCTCGGAGAATTGTGGGTAATCAGCTTCAGCTTCAGGCAAGTGGGAGATGGGCATTGCGCCTTTGCACGCCTACACCATCTTGGGCCTGTGCCAAATTCGTGCCGGTGGAGGGATCGAGAGGTTGCTCCGGCCTTGAGAAGTGCTAGATAAGGGCCAGATGCTCATTGAGGAAGTGTTGAAGTGGTTGGAGGTACTTATGTTTGCAAGCTGCTCAGAGTTGCGTTCAAAATTAGAAGCGCCGTGCGCGTGATATGGCTCCTGCTGCTTGCATTTCATACTTACCTAAGCACCTCAAGCAGCCCCAATTCCGTATTCTTTGGCGGACCCGAAGCTCACGCCTTCGAGCCGAGGCTTGTGCACGTCCGCAACCCCTGGGGGTCGGGCAAAGAGTGGCAGGGCAGGTTTTCCGATGGAGACGCGGCCTGGAGCGAGGTGGGATTTGAGGGGATCTGGAACTGGAGACGTGATTTGGGCATGAAGCCGAAGCGGGATTCTGGCAAGAAATGGGGGCCTTGAAGCTTGAGTCCTGAAGTCAGAGCTGATGATGGAGCGGGGGGGCTGCAACGACTGAAGGCTGGGTTTACGACTCTGTGCGGGGGAAGGGGGGGGGGGGGGGTTGGGTGGGCTGGTGGGCATCGTGGTGAGCTTGATCTGTGTTGGAGTTTTGTTCAAGCTTTGGGAGAGAGCTGCCCCAAGAGGAGAAGAGGGTTCTCGTGTGTCCAACCCCAAACCGTTGACGTTGTTTCTGTCAATCATGGAGCCTACTCCTAGAGTAGCCCACACCGATTCGACACTCAAAGACAAGCCCCTCTCTTGATTTCGGGGGCCTGAAGGTCAGTGCCAAAGACAAGGAGCGTCTTGGCGGCGCCAGGCGGGGAATCCGGCGGAACCAAAGTTCTGTGCTCTTCGGGTTTGGATTTAGGTTTTGGCGTCTGCTCTGATGTGGCCAGGAGCCACAAGGATGGAACCTGGTACATGAACTTCGACGACTTCTGCGAGCACTTCTTCTGCGCCTACTTCGGCTTACTCTTCCCAGCTGCGACGCACAGCCTGTACCATGTAGCCACTTGGACCGGCACCTCTAAGCATTGCAGGAGGACCGTGAGCCTGCAGCTTGCACTGCTTGCACTGAGCATCTGAGGCAACAGAACATGTGGCCGGCAAGAAGCCCGCAACAGTTGTGGTCAAGGCTGCTTCTTCTGGATCCGTTCGCGTCCTGTTCGGTGGACCGACGTCGCGTGCACTGCCGGACTCTGCCGAGAGGGCCGCAGTGTGCCTCCTGTGTGAGAAGTCTAGGGGTGATAGAGTTGAGCGGATAAAGGCAAGAACGAGAAGCTCGACCGACTGCACCTTCACAGTAGGGAAAGGAGACATTCTTGCCTTCAAGTTCACTGCGGAGCCCAGCAGCCGCATCTACCTCAGCATCGTGTGCCCGTGTGACTCAGAGGCCGCCGCCCTCCAAGGGTTCCCAACCCTAAACCCGAAACTCCTTTGCGCAAGTTGCCGGTCCCCCCCCGCCCCTCCTCTCGAACACAATGTGCTACATGTTTGCGTATCCACAGGTCCTGACTTCAGGTGTCAGTGCTCACTAATTCTTGAACTCGCCAGCCTAGCATCCAGGGCTCCCACGCATGGACTTCTCAATGTTGAAGAGGGGGTTTAGGAAATAGGGGACCCCCAATATCCCCAAAATAGTAGGAGCTAGTAGGATTCCCTTATAATCAGGACCCCAAGAAGGTACCCCTTCTGTCGTAAACAAGCAAGAGGTCACGGTGGACCATGGCGACGGTGAGGTCGAGCTTTCTGCCCCTCCAACTATGGAGAAAGACGAAGACCCGGACGAAGAAGCCATGCTGTAGCTGGGCTGGGCTGTAGTATATAATATATAATATAGAATATATAATATAGGATATATAATATATAACCTATAATATATAATTGTTGGCGTTTCTTGTTTCGTGGCCTTGGGGGGGGGGGGGGGCTCGCAGAGGCCTGAGACGGGTCTGCTAGAGGGGAGTGCACGAGAGCGGATAGCGTTCTGGCCATCTCTGCGCATCCTAGACCATGAAGCACATTGGGATTTCTGCGTAGCATCCTGTTGGCAGATGTCCTTCAAGGGGAGTGTCAACGCGGCAGTATGGGCAACGAGAGTGGACAATTCCTGCATTCCATTGGTGCGCTCTTTTCTAGCTGTATTTGCGAAGCCTCAGAATGGCCACAACCCCTTCAATGCGGCCGCACTAATCATCGCACATTTGTGTCAAGTCAACTGTAGTTTGATCAGAAATCAGGAGCGCAGTTAACCCGAAATGCGAGTTTCGGCAAGTGCTTATCAACAATTTCCAGACAGGCAAGAAGTGGTTGCGAAGCATGTGCGAACGGGTCCGCCGGTCCGCCCCAGGCAAATCGTCCGCAAAGCTGCGGACTTAACTGGCTGGAGCAACGAGGATCAGCGGGCCGTCGCCGAAAAGCTCCAGCCTCCAGATTTCGGCGAGAAAAAACTTTCTTTCCGTTTCTATACTCGATCGCCCAGAAGGTTTGGGGTTGGCGAGTCTAGAAGTGGGGTTTCTCGACCGGCTTGCCAAGCTGAATCTCAAGGGCACCGGAGCTTCAAGAATGCTACATCTGACTTTAGGGAGGTGCCCCAAAGGATTCTGGAGGAACCTTGGTGTTGTTCTTCCCTGTTCTTCCCAGGTCTGCAGACATCTGCACTCCCCATGCCTTCCTCACCCTTGTCCTCTCAGGCAGGGCTGTTGTGTCCAAAATTCTGCGACCCTAGCCTGTCGCATTTTGTTTGGGGTTTCTGGGTTCTGCGTAGGACTTTGGGGTAAGAGCAGCTGTAGTTAAGCTACCAGGGTATTGCCAAGTTGAGACTTGAAGGTCCAAGGTCGGGTTCTGGGAGAGTCGGTTGCCAGAGTCCAGGCAACTGGGATGTTCTCCCTTAAACTAGCAGCCCTTAATAGGGATTCTAGTCCCATTAGAATCCCTATTAAGGACTGTTAGTATAAGGGGGAGCATCCCAACCAGGCAACATCAACGCCCGACTCCCCAAGAACAAGGGCTTCGGGAAGCGCAGCTCGCGGCATCTGTTTCGCGTGGCCGAGGCCGGGGACAAAGAAACAAAACCCCGAAGCTTGAAACTGCCGGGCTTGGCTCCTTGTGGGGGCCCCCCAGGATCCCCCCCCCCGAAACCCTCAACCCAAAATCCTAGACCCAAAGCCCTAATTTGGGGGCAGAAGGTCCTAAAATAATCCCTGGTGCGTGGCTTCGTGTCAGCTATGCGCGAGCGCCTAAACCGCCCGCGCAAGCGTGGGAGTCGAACCCCCCTTCCCTCCTAAACCCCAAACCCTAAACCCTAAACCCTAAACCCTAAACCCTAAACCCTAAACCCTAAACCCTAAACCCTAAACCCTAAACCCTAAACCCTAAACCCTGAACCCTGAACCCCAAACCCTCAACCCTCAACCCTAAACCCTAAACCCCAAACCCTAAACCCTAAACCCTAAACCCTAAACCCTAAACCCTAAACCCTAAACCCTAAACCCTGAACCCTGAACCCCAAACCCTCAACCCTCAACCCTCAACCCCAACCCTAAACCCCAAACCCGAAACCCTAAACCCTAAACCCTAAACCCTAAACCCTAAACCCTAAACCCTAAACCCTTGAGGAGCTCGCTGAGCTCGAGGGAGTGGTCGCGAGCGTGGCGAAGCAGACGGGATGGGGGGCAGAGGATCAGACCAAGGCCTGGAGCTTATATCCCCCTTGGGGAATTATTTTCAATCTTTGTTGAAATAAAACCCCAGAGGATCTGAAAAATAGTAGTTTTATTAAGAGGATATTGAAAATGATATTATTATGAAGGTTCTCAGGGGAGGATAGGAGCTTTGCTGACTACACCAAGGAGCATTCGCCCCTTCCCTCTGATCTTGAAGCCCTGAGCCCAATATGCGAATGTAGGGCACTCTCGTATTCCGGGGAATGAGGCATTGTTGTGAACAGTCTTGGTTGCAGTTCGGGAACCTTTTCAGTTGCACCAAGAGGATCCATCGTAGCCTAGTGAGTCCAGTATTTAATTCCTCCAACCCGCCCAAAAGATGCACCCCATGATGGCATGTGACTAGCACATAGGCTTCGCACTGCAACGTACATTTTTTCGAAGCTGCCTCCATAGTTTTTTTTTGTGTGTGGGCATCAGTTGGTTTGCGCTTTTGGTAGGGAGCGGGGCCTTCTGCTCATGAACGAACATCTTCACCTGGTTTCGGGATTGTATTCTGAGAAAGGAGCATATCTTCGTTGGAAGTGGCTCTGGCTTACCGGGTTGTGTCCGAGTCAGCTGTTTCGTATCGGGTAGAGTAGAAGCATGTTGGGTGTGGGTGCTTTTGCAGGTATCCTAGCTGGTCCTAGGTCGACCTGCCCCCCTCCAGGTGGTGCGGAAGTTCGTCTTGGCAGGCCTCTGCTCCTGCGAGGAGTTGGCCGATGCGCTCCTTGATGGCAGCGTGAACCATCGGCTGGTGGACGTCGGTCAGCAGCCCTTCGGCCGGCAGTCTGCTACTGCCCTCCAAGCCTGGGCAAAGAGGCGACGTTTTTTAAAAGAAGGCAGCTTTTGAGTGCAGGGTTTAGGGTTTAGGGTTTGGGGTTTAGGGTTTAGGGGTAGGTCGGGTCATTTTTGGAACTTACAGTCGTGAGAAGCCCCCAGGTGGAGCGCAATGAGCTCACCCGCTGTCGGGCAGTGACCGGATGCACAGCCAGCCCAGCTCCATTTCTTCGCCTCCCGGAGGACGACGGAATATTTTAATCTTCGTTGAGCATGGACATGCTACAGTGCAGTCGCCGAGCGAATGTCAGTGAGCCATGAACCCGCCTGGCAGTTGCAGCCTTTAGGGTGCAGGCTTCGGTATGGGCCTTTTTGCAACTGCCAGGATGGAGCTTGCCAACAGAGAAGCCTTGTGGAGCAGTTCAGTGTGAGACCTAAGGCATGGATTGTGAGATCACAAGCCATGTCAACTTGGCCTAACATGGGCTTTACTGGCCGAGCTTTGCTGAGATGCCTTTGCCTGACCGCAAAGGGGCCCTGTAACGAAAAAGTGGGAGATCGATTTCTCAGTGTTTGTATAGTGGGTTCTATAAGGTGGGTTCTATAAGAACAGGAAACATCTCCGCAGCCATCCCTGCCCACCTTGGAAGATTGCATGGTGGCTGTGTCACTACACGCGGGTGTGTCTTGAGTCGTCCTGCAGGAATGTCCTCTTTCGTCAGACGATGGTAGCCGATACAATGTCTCCTTTGAAACTGGGTCTTCGTGGTGGGGAAAACAAACCAGCATAACCCATGAAACGGGGACACCGGCTCTGGTTTGCATTGGCAAGGCTCCAAAGCGCCAGCACTTGAGAGTTTCAGGGTCAAGCTTCTTTTAGCAACGCATTCCGTTGGCCGTGGAGGCATCGACAGGTCCTTTGCTCAAGAGCCCAAGCTGCAAACCTTGTGCTGATCCGGCCCCACCCTTGACTGGAGAACCATGGCAATGCCAGGCCGGGTCAGTCAAAAAAATGGACCTTCGGTTCAGAGGATGAGTGACTGAAGTGGTTGTGCTCCAGGACTTTCACACGATGCAGCACCTTGCGACATCTTTGTAGAGGGAATGCGGTGGGAACATAGACAGCCACCCCACTTCACATCTGCAGACGAGGGCCTGCGGCAGCCTTCCGGGAAATGCGAGTTTGGGATGGGTTTGATTCTTCTCACGACGTCTTCTCGGTGGTTTTCCATTGTCGCCAATCGCAACTCCTGCAGGTGAAGTTGCCCCTACCTCTGTCAGGTATGGACCAACTGTCCCAGAGGGACCAGATGCAAGTCATGGCCGCGCTGAACGAAATGCAGATGCAGGAGCTTATGGTGCAAGTGAGCCCGCACGTGATCTGTCCCACCTTCCCGGAAACAGTGTGACCGTTAGCCAGGCCATCATTAATTAGGACGTCTGGCAACAGTGAGACTAATTCCTAAGCCCAGATTGTGCCTTGCAATGTGGCATAAGTGTCAGCTAGGCGGCAAAATTGACTTCAACCACAGGAAATGATGAACACCTACAACAACTTGGTGGAGAGATGTTTCAACGAATGCATCACCAGCTTCCGAACAAAGGCGCACAGAACTCACTGCGAAAGTCATTCGGGGCATTGCTTTACTTCAGGTCGCAGGCCTCGAGGCTTTGCTACGGTTTGGCTGGGTGTTGTGAAATGCTGCCGGGGTGTTGTTGAAGTAGCTGAGCTTTGGCATGCTTTGGCTGGTGCTTTGGATCTGCTGCTTGGTGCCTCGGGCGCACTCTTGTTGAGCAGGGCCTGGAAGGCTCGGAAGAGCAGTGCGTCACACGTTGCGCAAGGAGCTCGGATTCTTCCAGCGCGGCACTTGTTTGGACGCTCATGCAGGCGTAAGCTGTAAGGCGTTTGCCCCTGCCATCACCTGCCCGCATCTGGCTACTTGCAGCGCGCAAGGTGCAGAAGTACATGTCCTTTACCCAGCTTGGGCCCCAGTACCGATGGGAAAGCCAACAGCGTTTGTGGCGGAGACCCTCACCATGACAATGCCGGCAGCCGTTTGTGAGGCGCGTGGGCTTGCGCTTCCAAGAGAAGCAGCAGCAGATGTCGCTGCAGCCGCAGGGCTGATTTGTATAGGGTTTAGGGTTTAGGGTTTAGGGTGTTGCAGTTGAGTGAACGAGATGCTTGGGACCAGTGTGGTGTCATGGCTAAGGAAGCCGGCGTGAGCCCCGCAGCACGGTTTTGAAGCTCCCATTTTGTTACAGCTTGCAGTTGTCCATCCGACAAAAAGATGTGCAGCCACTTATGTGGGCACACGCATGCCCAGACCTGTTATACATACATCGACAATTTCCTCGTGAGAAGACTTGACGGTGGATTTTGGGATTGCAACAGGCCTGGAAAGCTCTCAGCTCCAGTTTCACGAACAGGGAAAGGCAAGCACACTGGTGCAGCACGGAACAATGCCAAGCGGTGGCAAAAAGCGGAAAGGTGCAGGAATTCCCATGCTGCGTCAAGTTGAGTGGCAAGTCTTTGTTGGAAAGTACGCTGTTGCAACACTCTTGGCTCAAGATCCGAAATTGCTTTTGATCGCTGCTGCGGTTGCCTCAGATTCTTCCAAGCGCGACGGTGCACCCGAAGAAACAACCATACTGCACCACGCTTTTTGTGCACCTTCAAGTCTGACACGACATGTGGATGTAGACCAGAAGATCCAGAAGTTGCAGTTCTGAGCTGCAGTGCTGGTTTGGCAACACGTCGCCTGAGGCCCGCTGAGGAAATCCCGCCTGGCGTGCACGCGCTTTCCATAACCAATCAATCTACAAGCAGTGCGGAAACGATTCATGGCTGAAAGAGAGGCTTTGACCTGACATTTTCAGAGTTGGCATGCTTCGAAATGCATGTGGTGTGTTTAGTGTTTAATGCATAGTGGCCGCGCAAGTTTCCGGCAAGCAGCCTTGCAGTCTTCTTCAGAAACTCGATGCAATCATAAAAGCAAGGACTCGAACCGACTCATGTGGAACGTCCGAGACTCAGTGTTGCAGGTCATGTAAGGCAATTGTCGTGGCCGGTCGCCCAAGATTCATCTCCTCGAGGCATTGCGATTTGCGCTTGCCACCCTCGCAGCCATCCATGTGGTGGCTGCCACGGATTCGGAATGCCTAGAGGCTGAGTGCGGAGTGATTGAGGCCTGCAGCAGGGCTCCCTTTACAGGATTCGTATGACTAGTGCTGGTTTGTTGATAGGATCCCGTCTACTTTCACTGCTGGGCTGTCTACCAAGCAGAGCTTCTTCTGCATTGACATGGCTCTACACGACTTGGAAGTGTAAGCCGCTCTCTCTCTCTCTCTCTCAATATTTCTCTCTCTTGGGCTCTTTCTCGCTCATGCCTGTCTCTCCGTCTTCGTGTCTGGCTTTCTGTCGGCGAGCAGGCTTTGATACTTTCACTAGACACTGTTGACACTCTAGGCAGGGACGGAAGATGGAGGGGGTGCTGATGCCGACGTGTGGAACATCTGTGATTTGTCAAAGGGAGGTTTCCGCTTTGCTTTCTCTACAAGCTTGAGCCCGGTAGCCCCGCAGCCTGAGATGTCGCCAGCAACGTGCCTGTTGCCAGGACGAAGCCCCCTTGCTGGATGTCCAGCTCCTCCAAAAGTCCTTGCGCCTCACGCCGGTGAAACCATCAGCCATTGAGACGGCCTGGCACACGGAAGATCACCGAGGTTCTGCAGTCTTACGTATAAGTCAGAGTCCTCCATTCAGTTTTGGCAACGTTGGTAGCAAAGGAGCTTCTGAATGCGCGGGCTCCTTTGGGGGCATGTTTCAGTGCTGGCAAGTCTCAGGTAGAAGCTGATGGAAGTGTCAGGGAGGCAGACATTGAACCAGTGGAGGACATCCTTTCTCACTGAAAGGTTCTGGTTTCCTCCGAGGTGAGGAGTTTGCTGTGCAGGACCATTCGCTACTTCAGACCTCGTTGGAGGCCAGAAGCAGATTCAGCAGATCTGTTCTTCACTGCAGCTCTCAGCCATTTGCATGGCGCGATGTGCCCGTGCAATCCCTTGCATGCCCCTCAGATGGCGCCCACGGAGCTCTGAGAAGTTGACCTTGTGAAATCTCTTGCAAAGCGCAGGTCAGCGAAGCGGAGGCATCCAATGCGACGGCAGTTTTGGGAATGGACGGCCGGGTGGCTGAGATTTTGGCCTTCTCTTCACGAAGCTTTAACCTGCCCCCTACCACTTGGCTGACGACACACTAGAGCTTTATTGCATCAATTGCCTCCTCTCGTGCTATGGCTTTCTCTCGTTGCTCTGCAACTTGGGCAACCCAGCACTCAGAATGAGCGGGTGCAGCGCAGGCTTTTCCCACGCCGAGTGTTCACACACGCAACATCACAAAGGCTTTGACTCTGACACGAAAGGTTGGCGTCTGCGTCCGAATGCCAGCTGCTTTGTGGAGGCAAGCAGGAGTCTTTTCCAGCTAGAAGGTAGTTGAAACCATCCGAGATCCAAAGCCCGGCACCTCAAACGTGTCAAGCTGACGGACCCCCTTCCGGGCTTTGCTTTGAGAGGAGTGCCTTGATTGTGTCAGCACTCCCAGCTGTGGTGTTCTGGATTGCATGCAGTGGGTGGCAGACCCTCTTGTGTCGATAGGCCTACGTGTTTTTGGGATTGGAACTGGACGCAACACCCCTGCGCCCGAGCCCGGGAGGGCCGGTGCCTGTTTTTTACTAGCACATGAATCGTGAAGGCTCGTTAACCGTGGTGGAGAAGGGGAAGATGAGGCATTTTTGTACCTGAAAAATAGGAGCCCTGCCAGGGCCTGCTTCCGATCTCTGGCACGAAGCCGTTGCTCGTGCAGTCGCGGGCCCTGAGAATCACAGATGTATCGGATGTTGCCATCACCAGTCTGCTTTGTGTGCTCATGCTGGGAGAGGTTTCCACAAAACTGGGGCCTCTTGAGGGCTGTTGAGGGTTGATGCCCTGGGGTGCACTCAAGCTGTCCCGCCGCACCCTCCAACTCCGGCAGCTTTCCAGCTTGTCCCGTGCCAAGGAGACCTAAAACTGCAGCTTCCCTGAATGAAGCGCCCGTAACTGCACTAAAAATGCGTTGCTAAGGCTCGGAACTGTGCACGAGCTCTCCAACGAAGTCGGCCACTCCTCGCTGTCGGTCGCGTCCTTCCTCTTTGCGGACGCGGCCAAGTTGAGGCGGAACATATACAGCCCCCCGACCCCGAATGCTAGCTGCTAGATATTCCGAATAGCAGCCGAAAAATATGTCATCACGGGAAGATCTGGGAAGCTTTGATATTACTTGGGGGTGGGAGGGATTCGTCTTGCCGTGACTTGTGCGTCCTGATGTAGCTTCTGATCAGTAAGTCTGTAAGTGTAGATCTTCGCAATGACAGGGCCTCCCTGATTTTGTCACTCTACGTTGCGCTCTACATTTTTTCCATCGCACGGGCCCCAGCAGCGTGAATGTGCCGCAAGCGCGCAGTAAGACACGCGGCACCTCCGAACGGTCAGGTCTCCATGTACTACCACATGACAACAGTGCGGCCAGCAGGCAAAACTCCTCTCCCCGGCTACGGCAAAGGAGAGTCTTGAGCTCAATTAGCCCTGCCCGACATCAACGGGCAGAGGGCCAGTGAGCAACGCCTTTGCAGAACACGAAGAAGCTGCAGTCGCAGTGAACATCTGTGGGATTCAGCGGTCCACAGTGATTGCCATGCTTGGCGGGGTCGTCCCAGCAGCAGTGAATGAAATCATGACATCGGAACTATGCTCAGGACACTTGTCCCGAAGATGAGATACTGCGGAGCAACTCCTACTTGAGCTGGCTGTGTGTGCCCAGCGCTCAGAGGAAGTGAAGGAATGATGCACCCCGGAATCCACAAACCCTGCAGAACAACCCTTGCTAAAATCACACACAAAATTTTTCAGGGACCATGTAACTACCCAAAGTGTTAAACCCTAAGACCCAAGGAAGGTAAAGAGCTTCTTTCCAAGGACTTGGCTGAGCCCCATGGTGGCACGGCTAGGCGGGCGGCGCATGTGGGCTGATAGCAGCAGCAGTAACCGCTCACCCACCATCACACGGAAAAAAAAAAACGGAAGAACAACCGAAATACGGAAAAGAAAACGCACGAAGAAACATCGAATCGTCATAATCGTCCGAGCAGGCGCCAACCTCGAACCCCAGAGAAGCTGGCGTACGCCTGACAATACAAACGGCCCATGTGTTTCCGTCTTTCTTGCGTGTACCCCAAGCCCATGCCACCGACAGATATGGCTGTGGGGGGGGGGGGGGCTTGTGCTGGCTTTCCATTTGCAGGCCACTCCTGGAGCAGCGCAATGTCCAAGTGCAGCCCGGACGAAATCCCGCCCGTGAACTCCCCGGAGTACCAGGCAGGGCTCGCTTTTGTCTGGCGAAGTGGTTGCTTCACTGTAGTGAATGCTCCATGCTTGTGTGTAGTCAGCTTTTCCAGCTCAACTCAGGGCATTGAATTTGGCATGTCAGAAAACGCACGCCAGAAAATGCTTATGGGCGTGGGGCAACTCCCCCCATCTCAGGCGGCTCGCCAATGCGAGAGGTTCGAGGCCCTTTGGGCAGAAGAGGTGCAGCTGCGTGGCTTGGACGAGGCCAGGAGAGGTTCAGAGCGCCGAGGTTGCTTAGGGTTTAGGGTTCAGGGTGGGTTTAGGGTTTAGGGTTCAGGGTGGGTTTAGGGTTTATGGTTTAGGGTGAGTGCTGCGGCTGCATTGAGCTTCGGCGGGGGTGGCTGGGATTCCGTACTTGAGCAGAGGGGGGTGAAGCGCTTGTGGGTTGATGATGGTCTCGGAGAAGCGTTTGTGCATGATTGTGCTACAATCAGTGATGATATCATCAGCGCAGTGCGATTGTATCTTCTTGAGGTTGTGCCGGAAGATTTCGGGCACGGAAAGACAATGTTTGCAAAGAGCGCCCTGATGGACTCATGGCCCAAAGCTCCTAAAGCCCTCCCGGCCACAGGCAAGCATTATACGAGTGCTATTCAAGCTTTGGGGCTACAAGAAGCTGGTGCCTTGCCTGCTTGAGAGCCATGGTGTTCAGGGGGATAAGGAGGGACGCTTAGAAGGGACCCTTAATCTTCTGCCCCTATATGACCTCTTAAGGTCAGGGGACATCCGAGTCTGAAGCTGCTGCGGCTGTTGCTGTTGCTGGAACATTGGGGGATTTACGAAAATCAGAGATTGCTGACATGAAAACCCCCAAATAGTAGGATCCCCTTACAAAGGGACCCCAAGAAGGTACGCCCCGTTATCGCAAACCCCCCATACGTGAGAGCCTAAAAGGGAACGGCTCTTGGGTTCCTGTAAATGCTTTGACATTGGCGGGAAGAGAGAGATGCCAGGGTTTAGGGTTTAGGGTTTAGGGTTTAGGGTTTAGGGTTTAGGGTTTAGGGTTTAGGGTTTAGGGTTTAGGGTTTAGGGCCAGCTCCAGCACTGCCCAGTTCTTCTTCCACATGTCGCTCTTCATTCATGTGGTGATTGGCTGCATGGCTGCAACTTTTAGGTCGTAGGATGGCTTCCCTAAACCCTAAGCCCTAAGCCCTAAACCCTAAACCCTAAACCCTAAACCTTAAACCCTAAACCCTAAACCCTAAACCCTAAACCCTAAACCCGGCGGGTGGCAAAAAAAAGCCCGAAACCCCAAAAGGATGCTTAAGAGCTCTGCCACGATGCCGCCTTGGGAGCTTTCGGTCTGTGCATTCCGGACAGCCCTTAAAAACCCAAATCATCCCACTTCTTGGAGAATTGGGGTCGTCTCAGGCAACTTGTACCAAGTGTACCTGATCCAGTCGTCCCTGAGCTACTTCTTCTGGCTTCAGGCCCAGGCGCACCCCCTTTTCTTTTTTTTGGTCCTCAGCAGAAGCGGCCTCGAGGCATTGGGGCCCGGCGAGGGATACTTGGAGGTTCAAGGTACTCATAACCCCAATCATAACTGTACTTATAAGCCCCCTGAGTCCCCTAAGTAGGGTCATAAGTAGGTTTATCATTGGGGTTAGAAGTACCCTAACCCTAAGCCCTAAACCCTGAACCCTAAACCCTAAACTAATTGGGGTTATAAGCACCCATGAACCTCCAAGTACAGACCTCCTCTTAAACGCTGCGCGTCGCCCGCCTCGGCCCGCCGGCGGGCAGAGGCTTTTGGGGTTCTGGCTTAGGGTTTAAGGTGTAGGGTTTAGGGTTTAGGGTGTAGGGTTTCGGGTTTAGGGTTTAGGGTTTAGGGTGTAGGGTTTAGGGTTTAGGGTTTAGGGTTTAGGGTTTAGGGTTCAGGGTTTAGGGTGTAGGGTTGAGACGCAAGAAGGGTCGGTCCAATGGCCGAGCCCATGGCTTCTCCACCATGGTCTATAGCCAACTCAGCAGCCATACTACGATGCAACACGGCCGAGGCCGAGGCAAATTCGTATTCAGAACCATTTCATAGTTGAAGGTTTATTAAGAGTATTCCTAAGGGGTTGGGGGTTCTGGGCAAGAGGTTTCGCACCGAAGGCGAAGTAGGAATCATCCTACCGAAGCCCCCAAACAGATGAATGGCATCAGGCCGGCTCAACGTGTTCATCCCTCCCAACAAACGATTGATCTACGGGTAGTTCTACGGGCCCTTAATATGTCCCTTACCTCCTTTACAGGCTTTTGAAGTGAGGGCCCTTGAATTGTCTAGGCGTAGGGCATATAAGGGTAAGATTCCGAGGACCCCAAACCGTTCCCGTTGGGGCAGTTCAGCTTCATTTTTCTGGCATTATCAATAAGCCCCTGTAAGCCCTGCCAGACACTGCTTCCTAGAGACCCCAGCATCACCCGTAGCTGTGAAATGGGCATGTGGGGGTTTCCGAAAATAGGGGTACCCTTTTTGGGGGTCCCTTCAAGGGGATTCTTTTCCATTTTTCTGCATAAAAGGGGGACCCCTATTCTGGTAAATGTGCATTTGGTTTAAGGTCTCAGTTCCCAGGTGCACGAGACCGGTGAGCTTCCTGACATGACGAAGCCCATCTTGTCGTCCATCGCCCCTGGCCTTGAATGCGTTTGGCCTTGGGGAGATATATTGGTATGTCATGTTATGCTATATTCTGTCCTTATACTATGCTATGGCATGTAAAAACAGACATGCAGCGCATAATGTTACACAAATATTGTGTGTGTGTATTTAATCTGAATAAAGTATAGTGAATCCCTCAACCCTAACCCTCCCTGTCCCGAACAAAGCAAAAGACCTGGAAACCTCGAGGTCGCCTTCTCAATACAGCCGCTTGCGCGGCCCTCGGGTGCTGTTCATCGTCGAAAGTTAGGTTTAGGGTTTTGACATCGGTCATGCCAGCTTTTCTGAGGTCTTCGCCATCCTGTGCTCGTGACGTGGCCGCAAGTTGGGCGGGCTGGGCTACTGGACAAGTGTCGTCTTTGTGCGTGGACGGGGCTCCGCTGATGAGCGGAGCGTCCGCAGGTTCGAAGCCAACCTCTCCATGAAGTTCGACCAGTCCGTCGCAGGGGTGGCTGCAGTCTTAGTAACCTGCTGCTGCACCAGCATGATGTTCCTGAAGTCTTCGGCAGCTGCTGGCGTTGAGGCCGTGGCTATGTTCAAGCGCCTTGACTGAGCAAACGAGATGCTTAAAGAATGCTGTGCCTTCGCTTGCCCATTGAAGTATCTTCACAAACACGGGCCCACCGTTTCGACCCGCGCATAGATGCGCTGCAGATCCCAATCGCAAAACGTAACCTACCCTAAACCTTAAACCCTAATCCCCTCTGAAAGAGTCGAAACCCGTCTCAAAGCCCGCCCTGAAACGCAGGAAGACACAGCGCCTTCCTGCCTCTGTCCTCAGCCAAGACAAGCCTGTGGGCTCCGAGGCCTACTGGGGGTTCATCAAAGTTATACAATATGTTCATTAGGGATTTAGGTTCTTATTTTCGATCACTCGCTCACATCCAGAGCCTTGTTTGTTCTCACAACTTTGATCCAGTCGAATCTGCTGCATGGCTGCTGCTTCCCATCGCGCCTGCCTTTTGCATTCATGGCCTCTCCTGTTCGGTTATTGTGCCGAAAGGACCTGGCCGAGAAGGTGTCGAAGAAGCCGAATGTACTTCGGCTGCGGGGGATTTCAGTTGCCATGGTAGGAGCACTTGCTTTGGAAACGGAGGAACTCTAAGGGTACTTACATGGGTTCTCTTTTATGGTCACTTACCTCCTTTTAAAGGTTGCTGATGGAAAGGGCCCTTCATGTGTATAGGGTATATGAGGGGTATATAAATGGGTCCCCATTTAAGGGACCACGAAACTACTCGAAGAGGAACAAGCCTAGCCTGAAACAAAACCGGCTTCTACACCTTCTTCCGCAGTACTTTCCTTCTGGAAGACGCTACCCAGTTGGACATAAAAAACGCTCGCCGAAGAAGAGGTTTCCCTTTGACTGCCATTGCAGCGTACATGTAGGCATGAGTCGCCTTGTGCCACGCCCTCTGTCGAGCAGCTCTTGCATGAGTAAGGCCCCCTGCTTTGTACAAGCCGTGGCTTCAGGCCATGATGACGATCAACAATGATGTGATTGGCAACTTCCATGGGCAGCTCGGCAGGCAGAAGAAGACCGTGATGTCAGCGGATGGCTGTAGGGTGCATGGGCTTGCAGCCTTGAACAGTCACTAGCTGGACACCTGGTTCAGGGTGCTGTTCATCATGAAATCTACGCCAGCTTTCAGCCAAGGCTGACGTTTCAGGCCTCACTCACGCTTAACGCGACCATGACGGTGGCGGTGCTGCTCGTGCTCATGGACCCTTGGCACCAGTGAGAGTTTGTGGGGTTTTCCAGTCCAGGCCCCGGTTGTGGGTCAACTTTCAGCGGCAGCCCTTTTGTGAGCCGGTCGGTCCTAGTTCAACAGAGAAGGCCCTAAACCCGAAACCCTAAACCCTAAACCCTAAACCCTGAACCCTGAACCCTAAACCCTAAGCCCTAGACCCTACACCCTACATCCTAAACCCTACACCCTAAACCCTAAACCCTAAACCAAATCTACAGGCGGTGGTCCAAGTACCCTCCGCTGATCGTGAGTTCTAAGCTCTGCGGCCTGAGACCAAAGGCTGTCAAGCTCCGCCTGGCCACTCTCTTCTGCCTGGCAGTGGCCATCCCAGGCCGAGCAAAAATGTTGAAGGTTGCCAAGAGAGGAGTTGTCCTGGCAGTGGCTACATGTATCCATGGATTCGGAAGCGTAGTGAGCAGAACCCCTGAGTGTTGTAAAACGTTGTAAACGTACATCAACTCCGATGGCGTTCATTTGCCTGACCTGCTACCTGCTACAGCCCTCACCGTGTCCGTGATCCTCAGCGGGGCCATGGGGATCAACATGATGCAGCTGCAGGATGTTCAGGACAAGCGCCCCTTGGTTTGCAGGTGGAGGCTTTTGCATTCGTTTTGTCGTGCTGATCAGTCAAGCGAGCGCTGAAACTCTGTGTGTTTGGTTTTTTGCATTTTGCAAGCCATCGATCCGATTTTTACACCTCAAGCAGCCATGAGTGGATTTGCCTGCTGTCGCTGGTGCCATCGCCAAGAGATGTGGGAACACACTGACAGCCCGAACCCTCATGCTTGCATGATATGTTCCACACTTGCAGCTCGGGCAGGGGCGTGTGAGCTGCATCGGAGTTCAGGCGTCTACTTGCTCCGCGAAGTGCTCAAGGGCATTCGCATTGTGAAGTGCTACGCGTGGGAGAACGCCATGGAGGACTCTTTAAAAGCAATGTCCCCCTTGTGTAGCCATGGATCCACTCGCTTCTCTCCAGTGATGCATGCCACGAAGCGAGATACATCCGAAGACTTGCTTGAGACTGCTGGTCCCGATAGCTGCCGATACGGTCTCGGGGGGAGGGGTGCCCCCCCAGACCCCCTCCTGTGGCCTCAGCTTTTGAACACTTAAGTAAGTCAAGCCTTTACGACCAAGCAGTTGACCGCTTCAACCCAACATGCCGAGTGAAAACCACAGCCCGGCGTTCCAACCCTTGCCTCCTCTCTCAGGAACAAATCAAAAGGATCCGAGCCAGAGAGCTGTCGATGCTGGGAATCTACTTCAGGATGTGCTGCTCGGAGGCATGAGCGCATGGCGCAGCCCCGTTGGTTTCATTGGGCCAGCGCGTGAGCTTCTTCCTTTGCGGTAGCAGCAAGATGGATTATTCTGCGCCTTGAGCCATTTCACTTACTCCGCTTCCCACTGTAGCCATCAACGATGCGCCCAACATCGTACCCCTAACTGTGGAGCCCGCACTTTCTGCAAACTGGTCCCTTGTGCCCAAGGCAGCCATTTCGTTGTCCTCTTCAACCTCTTCCCAAGGCCACATGAACGTACGTAACCGACAAAGCGCTGCATCATGGTACCATCAAGTCCAGCGCAATGAGGAAAGTCAAGGTATTCCGTTGACTTTGAACCTCGGAAGGTTGTTGACCTGCGCCGGCCTGTGGGGCTTCCTTCACCTGAGACTTTGCTGCACTGAGCATTCAAAAAGATGCTCAGCCTTGAGGCAAAGTCATTTATGGAATAGGCATCGGGCCGAAATCGGTGCAGCTTCGTGATTCTTAATGTCGGCCTCACCCAACCTCTTGTGCAGCGCGCAGCCGGGATATGGCGTGTGAGGTCCTGACCAGCCTGACCTCGTCCAACCACCTTAAGCCCAGAACCCTAAGCCCTTAGCGGGTGGCATAAAAGCCCTAAACCCCTAAACCCGTGTGAAGACTATGCACCTCGGGAAGAGCTTGTGTCAGGTACGGCAACAGCGACCTCGCCTCGATCTTCGCTTGCCTGCAGATCCTGGCTTCCCTGAGGTGTGTGACCGTCATGGCATTAGGGTTTAGGGTTTTGGGTTTTGGGTTTAGGGTTTAGGGTTAAGAGGGAATTCGATGGTAACTGTTGCCAGCACTTCCACATCGAGGCAGCGGTTGCGGCAAGTTCTGTTGGGCATGTGGCTCCCCCCTCCCCTCCCTCTTCCATGGCCAGCTGCGGCTGAGCCGGGGAGTTGGCTTTGCGTGCATGCAAGCTTGGTGGTAGTCAATGCTTGATGCTTCTGCTCTTCAAAAACTGGCAGAGTCACAGCAGGCACGGCCCTGACATGTGGCTGAAACCCTGAAACCCTGAGTGCGCGTGATCTGGCTGCAGGGCGGAGAGCTCCACGCTGTCTGGAGGCATCCAGCGAATGATCACGGTCCGCATCAGCGCAGTCGGGGCCCATGACGAGCCCAGTGAACTACGATTTGCTTAAGAACCCCCCAAAAAGTTAAGATATATTCTTCCTTATAAGGGCAATATAGGGATTGCTTTTTATGTTCTTGGGTTTCTTAGGCAAACTAGTAGCCGTGCTGAACACGCTGTGCGTGTGCAAGCAAGGAAGGTAACAAGTCTGAATTGAGAGCTTGTGCAACCTGTGCTTCTTGTGCTAGGTCATTGTGTCTCGGTTTGGAAATTGGAAGAGTAGGCAGTAGGCTTCTTGCTCTCCAAGTTGCGCGCGGAGAACTACCTGAAGCAAGAGGAAGCACCGGTTCTCCCAGGAGCCCTTCGAACCTCTTGGCTTGCTGATTAGAGCCGCCAGAAGCATTGCATTCCCTGGGGCCAGAACTGTCTACTCATCACGATGGAATTGGGAAGGAGTTAGCGTTCCAAAGTGGGTGGAGATCTGGCCCAAGACTGGCGGCCTCGACCTCGGCATTGCGCAGAGCAAGTAGTGGGCTTTGAGTCGTCACTGGAACGCAAGGAAGTACCCCCGCATCTCACCTGAAGGCTCGGAGGGGACCAGCTTCCAGATCCGTGGAAGCTACCTCTACTCCCGCGAGAAGCCGTCGGAGGTGGTTGCTCGGGGCATCAGTCCAGAGTCTCGAGGTCGAGGTTGTTGTTGGGCAAAGGCGCGCGTCGTGCCGAGCTCTCGAGGCGAATCAGCCAACACATGTCACACAGCGTTTGTATTGAAATCGATTGAAATCGAGGCTTTGCACGACCTCGACATACAGGTGCGAAAGGGAGCAACTCGGCGTGCATCCGTGACAGGGTGCTGACATGGCTGTTGGAGGTGGCAGGATGCCTGCGTGGAGTCAGTCAGAACTTAAGGCGCTGTGTCGCGAGTAGCCTTCAGCGCAAGCAATGCCTTCGAGCGCTGAGAGGTTTGAATAAGCCGCACCTTTGATTGGTGTTCCGCATCTGCATGCATAACCTCCGCCGGATGTACCTCGGATAGATGCAGTGGAAAAATCGGCGGTTCAAGAAACAATGAACAGCTCTCAAACACATGTAAAGGTCGATCGATTCGAAGAAAAGGTCTGCAAAGGCAGAACGAGAGGGACAGAAAGTAAATCAGAGAAGCTAGAATGAAGCGACGAAGGAGCAAAGGGTTAAAGATAGGAAATTAAGACACTTTGACCTATTGCTACGACTTTTCTGTGGATCACTGCGACCATTGCGATTAGCAATAACATGCTAGCTGTGCGACGACCATGGCTGCTGCTGCTGCTGCTGCTGCTGGTGCTGCTGCTGCTCCTGCTCCTGCTCCTGCTGCTACTGCTACTACTACTGCTACTACTACTACTACTACTACTACTACTACTACTACTACTACTACTACTAATAATGGATTCTTGCTTTTAACTGGTAGTTTTTGCGTGACCCCTACTTTCGATCAGAAGGAGCATTGTTCGAGCAAGCTAGCGGCGAATCTCAGGAGATGGTGGCGATTGTCGGTGGCGTGGGCTCCGGGTGTCCTGGCATAACAGCATAAGGGTGAACGAAGCTGAGTTCGGTTTAGGGTTTAGGGTTTAGGGTTTAAGGTTTAGGGTTTAGGGTTTAGGGTTTAGGGTTTAGGGTTCAGGGTGTCACCCATGAACCAGGCAGGAGCCCGTGAGCCCAAAATACACCTTGGTTGCCAGAGGCAACGTGTGGGAAAGCTTGGGGCAAATCGATTTTCGAGCGTAAGAGAAGTCGCTCCCAGCGAGGCCACTTCCTTGGGAGTCTTTACAAGGTCTGTGAGTGACGTGCATGATGTCCGTTTCTTCACTTTTGCCAATGTGCTGTGTAGAACATGTTGGATTTCTGGTATCTGCTCCACAAAGTCATTAATCACCTACATCATCTTTCTCTGCTCCGCCGTCACCGTTGGTTTAACGCCAAAGCCCACCTTCAGAACCCGAAGCACCCAAGGAAGAGCACTCTTCTAGAAGCTGCGCTCGGGGAGCTCCATCCTGCCTCGGCCACTTGGTCAAGCTTCAATACATGATGCTTTATGTAGTATAGCTTATATCATAAAGATACTCTACTTTTTTTCATTCAGCAGGGTTTCTGTTTTGCGCCGCCCTCAGAAGCAGGCATGGCGGTACATACTATATTTAAAAATGCACTGTACTGTATGTAGCGTACCAGCCTTGCAGTCGAAGTATTGTTCGGTTTTTTCGCCCAGGAAGAGAAGGCCTTCTTGTCCCGGCCGCATGTCTGTGGGTACAGCCCGCAGCTCAGGCTTGGTGCGTCAAGTCCAAACGTGGAGTCGGACCGGGGTTAGGGTGGCGAACTGTCAGAAATAGGGCACCGGGTGGATGCTTGGACCACCCCAGGAAAGCAATGAAGCACTCTCATGGCTGCCCTTCATGCGTGTGTACACATGAAGCGGTGTTGAACACTGCATGCGTGTATGTGCTGCGCGATTCACAGCCTTGGGAAAATGGCCAGGTGCCGGTTTTAGTTCCCAACGCTTCGGCTTAGGTGCGCAAGTCCCCCACATCGCGGAGGGCACCCTGCGTGAGAATGTGGTCTTTGGCCAGGAGTTCGATGAGGACCCCGCAAGGGGTTTGGGCAAATAGAGATATCTGCCCCTGCAGCCTGATGTCACGTCAAAACCCCTAAAGCCTGGTTGGCCGCCCTTAAGCAGCCGTACAAACCTGGAACCCTTTAAACCTATTCGCCCTAAACCCCAAACAACCCTAACTGCCCGCAAAAACTCTCAGCCGCATGCAGGCCAAATATCGCCAGGCCGTCGCAGCTGCGGGCCTGGATGGCGACCTGAAGCTCCTGCCAGGCTCAGAATACTCCTGGGGTTCTCTTCAGGCTCAGGGTGTGCAAAGACCATGTGGTCACTTCTCTAGTACGACTATAAGGTAATTTGACCCCAAAATTAAGGGTGCCCAAAAAGGGACCATCATCTTGAGAACTGACCATGTACCTTTGACGAAAGGGTGTCTACACTAGTCCCTAGTCCACATCCCCCCCCCCCCCCCTTCCCTTTGTGTTTCCAGGGCGTGCAGGTGACTGATTTTGAGTTTGGCCTGCAGTAAGTAAAGCTTTCAAAGTAGGCTTAGGGGTTGTAGGCAGGGGAAGTGACCATGGGCAAAGACTGCATGCTCCGGCTCGAAAGCGCTCTTGTGTTGCAGGTGGGGACGAGGCTTTCATCGGTGCGCGTGGAATCAGTCGCTTGCCCACGATTCTTAGAACTTCCTGGTGTGACACAATCACAAGAGAAGGTAAGGGCATGTCAGGCTAGGAGGGTTGGGCATCACTGTCATGTCAACTCCTGTCGCTGCTTCTTGTTAAATCACTATGCTGGCAGTGCTCATGGTTCTCTGAGGCTTGTCCGGCGGCCAGCGGGCGCGCGTGTCGCTGGCAAGGGTGGCGTACAATGCAAACGCTGTGCTTTGCTGGCATATCTGGTAGTAGGAGGTGTGTTCTTGAATGTTCTCGAGTGCCAACCTCGCCTGAACATGTAGCCGAAGTCTGCGTGGGGTGGGAGCGTGTGGGGATACCGAGGAGCTGGTTCTTCTGGATGCCGCTTGACATGCACGGTACAGATGGGTCTTCTGTCAGCGCCATGAAAGGCAACGGGCTTCGCTTTTGGGTTTCTTGACTCGCTCCCCTCGCACCCGGCTTCAGCGCCTCACTTAACTCGTGGCTGGGATTGGCGGCGTGAGAGGAGCAGGGTGTTTGCTAGGTGTCGAGGTCTTAGACTTGGTGCAAGGCCACCGAAACTTTAACCCGCAGAGAGTGCTTTTGAAAGCTAAACCCTAGCCCCTGAACCGCAACCCTACAAGTTTTCACCTAAACCCTAAGCCCTTAAAGCCCTTAAAGCCCTTAAAGCCCTTAAAGCCCTTAAAGCCCTTAAAGCCCTTAAAGCCCTTAAAGCCCTTAAAGCCCTTAAAGCCCTTAAAGCCCTTAAAGCCCTTAAAGCCCTTAAAGCCCTTAAAGCCCTTAAAGCCCTTAAAGCCCTTAAAGCCCTTAAAGCCCTTAAAGCCCTTAAAGCCCTTAAAGCCCTTAAAGCCCTTCAAAGCCCGTAAGCCCTTCTACCCCTTAAGCCACCACTCAGGATCCTTTCGGCTCTGTGGATGCCCCGACAGCCCTGTGGATCCTCGAGGCAAAGGTTGTCAAGTTGCCGAGGGAAGGCACTACATGGAGCTTTGCAACAGACGCACGCAGAAAGGCAAATATATATATATATATATAACCAGACACATCCTCGCTATATGTACACATATATATATATATACATATCTTTGGGCAGCTGACCAAAGTCCATCTGCAGTCAGGCTCTGCATGTGATGCAGTAGGAAGAAATCTCACTTCTGCTTTTTGCAGGAGCTGCTTTGTGGCCCTATGCTGAAGGATCGGGCGCGCGTTGTGGCCTTGCAGCCTGAAATCGATGCTCGATGGCAATTGGGGCCACTCGGGGCCACCGGCAAAGCGCTTAAAGCCCTTGGGTCCTGAAGGGCAGCCAGTGACTTGTGCCCACTGAACCCGCTGAGGAACGTCTCAGAAAGTTCGATCGCGTTTTCGTGCCGCGCTCGGTTGACCGTTCGTGCTTCAAGCTTGCGGCCCTTCCATGCCATTCCCCTAAAGCACTACTAAAGCACTCAGAGGGAGTAGTTCTCATGTGAACTCCTCATAATTGTCATAAACCACTCCCCGAGTTGATCCTTCCTTTTCAAGGTGATGTCGAAGGGCCGCATCGTGGCCTCGGGGAAGCCCAGCGAGGAAGGGGCCAAGTAGCAACGGACCCCCGAATTTGGGAGAGTGGTTCTGTCATCATCAGAGGGGGGGTTCGCTGCCAGGGCCTCTAAGAAACATGCTTCTGGACGAGAAAACCAGGGCTGTGATGTGTTTGCGTTTCACGGCCCGGTTCACCATGACCCGTGAACTTGTCGCGCTCGGAGGTGGCAGAGACAGTGGCGGCCCCAGTGCAACAAGCAACAAGTGTTGCGTCAGATTTGCAAGGGCCCGTTGCGCATCAGAGACAGCCTTCGCTTCACAAACGCCGTTGCCTCTACTACTATACCACTCTTCTTGAGATGAGTTTAAACTGCCAGAGTCAGCACCGGATGCTGAATCATGTCCAAGCAGGAAGAGTTCAAGCAGCTCCTCCGGAGTAGCGCTTTGGAGGACCACCGATGAATTGTGTGCCACCTGTTGCTACTGTGGTACTGGACGGTTCTGGTACATGGGCGCAGAGTCTCTTCATGTCTCTTCACGGTTTGCTTGCATTTTGCGACCCACAGGTGCAGAGAGGCGTGAAGCATGGTGAGCATGTGGCACTGTGGCACATACAGTATCATGTGTCTTTCGTAACCAAAACCGCAGGGTTTCTAGCTGCCCACTGGCTAGCCACCACATCAAGTTCTCAATCAAGCTGCAGCGCATGTTGGAGCAGGTTATTCGATACGCTGGGTGGCCATCAGAGAGCTTGTTGGAATTGGCTGCTTCTGAACTTATTTAGATGATCTAGTGAATGTATAGTGGTGCACGCTTGCAACGGATGCCAGAAAGCTTCCCCAAACCCACAAGTACCTCTTGCACTGCAATAGCCAACCCAACCTTAGCACGCAGACATGTAGTTCTGCGCGATGGCGGCTGCAAGTGATTCAGCCGCCTGGGTCGCGGCACTCTCCTGGCAAGAGCGTGATGGGTGCATGGGAGTTTTTGCTGAAGAAACCCTGGACGAGGGTTCCCTTGTGGAGCGTTGCTATTCCATTCCCCTCAAGTCTGTGGACATTCCGTCTGCCACGCTACAGCGATGGTTGTATGATGTTGGTGACGGCTGTCTGCACTTCCCGCTTGGCTGGGGAATGCTGTACGCAGATGTCTCGAAGGAGCAAGCAAACGTGACCTGGAGCGTGGACGTGACGGAGCAGAACGGCGTCGCCTTACATCACCTATGCCTGCGAACGACCTCTGTGGTGGCGGCGGGCGCTGAGCTACGCGTTTGCCGGTCAGCGGCGGCTTCCTCAGAACAGAAAGATGTGGTGGCGTGGTCTCTGTCCGCTTTTGAAGAGCAGGGCCTGAAGCTACCACAGGCTGAGCCAGGCAAGAGGGGATCACTAAGTCACTAAGGGAGGATCATAGGCTCGGGGGCTGGGTCAGACTTTGACAACCCCACAGGCTCGGACCTGGACGGCGAGGTGTTGCCGTCCAACCTTTTCTCCGACCGAGTCAAAGTGGACGTTTCCAGCATCCACGGCTACGGGGTGTTTGCTGTCCGTGATATTGCAGCCGGGGAGATAGTGGAGCTGGCGCCGCCACTGGGCGGAGAGGACTCTGCCACGAATTTGTTTTTGGTTTTCTCCTCAAGAAAAGGATGGACTCTCACGATGCAATCCAAGGACCATGTTTCTGGGCCGCTGGGACCTCGGGAACTGCCTCGCGGATCACCGCTTCAGTGCGCACGGAGACCAGGAGCTTCGATTCAAGTGGCAAAATCGACCCCAAAATCCCGGTGCCACTTTGTAATTTGTACTCAGGGTTCACATCAAGACACACAAGATGCAGGACAGCACAACGCGCACGGGCTCAACTTGCTACTGTAGTAGGTGTTGCGCTGAGGAGCCCACGGCGCGCCCTCTGGGCCTGAAGCTGGCGCTGGGCCGGGGCAGCGTATTCAACCATGCGGACACCCCAAATGTGGACTTCCGCTGCTCGACCGTGGGGTTGCTTTGGAGGATGTCGTTCTCTTGGTTTCGGTCATCTTTTGTCCCATCAATCCTGTGGTAGAGAGAGGTCGGCATAGTTAATTCGGACCTCTAGACAGTAAGCTCCTGGGTTTTGAGTGGGAGCATGCCAATGTGTTGCTGGACTTCTAGAGCCAAGGGAGAATTCAATGTCGAGATCACAACCAAGGCCCGGCCAAAGTGACGGGTCCACGGATGCTGCAGCTCATGGGCTTCCCGAGCACAAGATCCCCTGATGTTGTGTTTCTGTTTTTTCTCTGGGTGTTTGCGGCGTCGATGTTGAAATTGCATGATTGAATTTGGTTCTGGGAGGGTTTGGAGCTTCGGGGTGGTGGGCGAGGATCGTCGCACGCGCTTGGGGTTGAGAGTCCAGACGGCAGAAGTTTCAGCGCCACGAGCCTGAGGCTGCTTCGCAGCCCTGCGGGACATCAAAGCTGGCGAGGACTTTGGGGTACTCTCGAGTTTGGGTTGTGAGACGTTGGCGAGTTCAGAGTAGCTGGCCACTAGCAGGCCGATGGCCAGATGTGACCACAGGAGCTTTGCATCTCCTATGGTCCGGATTGGTGGGAGTCGAGGCCGTTCGCTGAAGTTGTGAGTTTCAGCACCCTGTGGAAAACACTTGAAGACGCGGCTGAGTGTATACATGTGTATACGCAGCACTTCGTCCACACTTTCGAGATCGCAACTGCCTGCAGGAATGTCCGCAAGATGAGCTTGGCTGACTGGCGGAAGAAGCGCCGAGGGCTCGGTGGCATGTTCTGGACCCACGCCTCCGAAGGTAAGAGGGAAGCGCACTTGCATCTATGAGCGAATGAGCTAGGTGGAGAGACCGACCATGGTCGGCCATTCTACGATGACCCGGACTTTGAGAAGAAGCGCCTTGACAAAGCACAGCTTCTGTGAAGCCTCCAGCTCAAGGGTAGCAGCCGAAAGACTGTGGCAGATACTGTATAATTATGCATAATAGAATAATTGATAGGAAAAAATATATATAGTTATATAATATAGCAGCGCCTGGCTGGTGGTTGGTTGTCCATGACTGCTGCCTGAGGTCCGGTTTTCCGCGGGCTGTAGTGGAGAAGCTGCACACTGCCTTTGTACATGCTCCAGACGGAGACCCCACAGTGCTCCGGGCTTACCAGGCAAAGGAAGACTTCGGGAGGGCGAGAGCGAGAGCGAGAGCGAGAGAGAGGGGTTGCTCTAGGATAATCCCCCTCCCCTCGATATTAAACGCACCCCCTGTTCCCCCTAACATTAAATGCCACATTCTGTAGTTATATTACAGTATATTGGGGGTATTTTATTTTCGGGGGTACCTGGGGGTTCAATATTGGTGGGAGGGGATTGTGAGCATTCTCGGAGATTTGGGCAGTGCATTTTGGTGCAGGCCCTTTGCCACAAGGTGCAGGCCAAGGCCCGGAGAGTGGAAATGTGGGTGAGATGTGGGGCCTTTGTGATATCTTTCCCCGCCAGCACTAACTTCAACACTCGCCAGGAAGGAAGGTACACTGTAGGTGGGATCAAGTCCCCACTGTGCCTGCGATTCCTTTGCCAAGACGAGCCTCCGCGGCCTCCTCGACGCGCCGCTGCGGAGCAGCGGCGAGCGGGCAGCGCACGTTGCGGTGCTGAAGCCGCAGAACCTGCGCTGGTTGCCCGGCAGATCCGTACGTAATGCAAGTACTGTAGCAAACAGAGAACAAGCCGTGGGATTGTGGTTTCTGCCGAGTATCATGGTCACCCGCTATAGCATCTCGAGGGACACATCGCAGCAGCATCCTTCTGTCGTGGCGTTGTTGCAACTCTGACTGCGCGTTCTATGTGTGAGTTGAAGTTTCAGCGCACCCGCGCACGCTTGCGTGAGGCCACATTTCAAAGAACCCACGCGAGTCTGGTTCCCTTTCGTGCTCCACAGAATCGCCCTCAAGGCATGCGGTCGACTGAAGTTCTGAGGCTGGTTTTGCACGGCCGAAGCCTGAGTCCCTTGTGTTCAGACGTGTGTGCCGCGTTCTGGAGATGAGTTGAAATGTGCTGGATGGTCCTGCAGAGCGCGTTGAAGCAGTTTCGAGCTGACGGCACTTGTTTTGGCCCTGTACCAGGTGCAGATGTCAATGCGCCTACAGCTCCGGCACTTGAGCTTGCGGAGGACTTGGGGACTCGCAACTCGAAGTCCGACACCCTCAAGTGTTGCTTTGGTGCGGGGTCAAGAGAGAGAGAGAGAGAGAGAGAGAGTGTGAGAGAAATGAGACTTTCATTGTAACTCCCTGTCAAGCGTCGGAGCACTTCGTGTTCTTCAAGTCTTAAAGTGAGGGGATTCCTAGTCGGTCAACCAGTGTGGAAGGAATGTACCTGTTGCAAATCCAGAAGGGACAGCCCCTAATACTTCCGGAGTACAGGGCACAATTCCGGATATGATCACACCCTATATTCAGATGAGATTGCGCACGTTTTTTCTTTGTTTCTCGGCGACCGGATAGTGGTGTTGTGCTTTCCCTTCGGTGAAAAGATAAAGGCAGTCTAGAATCATAAAGGGGGTCTTTAAGGCCTTATTATAATATTACAAGCGAAATGAATTAAAGACCCCTTAAAATTCAATTAAAAATGCAAGAAAGCACAATAATATAATAATATTGGGGTTTTGTTCTCTCTTTTAGTACGCTCTTTAGGAATTATATGAAAAGATAAGAAAAAGTGAGAAAGAAGAAGACAAGAAAATTTTTAAAATTGCAGACTAAAAGATCAAAAGGGCCATTATTAGTACGCTTATTATCTTCACGAAGGTTGGTGATAGAGAGCTTACTAAAAGCGTGAGAAGAGAATACAAGTGAAGAATAATAGATAATAGAACGAATGCAATGAGTGCATGAACTACACTATTAATAGAATCTCAAGGGACGGGAAATCTCTTCACTTTTATCTAATGCATCACATGTACGCACTAAACCTAATAAAAGCATTAAAACACCCTTATCATCTTGTTAGCCGCCCCAAAGCTCCTGTAACTCCCTTAAAAACCCTTGTTAACGTATGAACGAAGTGACCGAGCGAATGAAGTGAGCAAAATGAACGGAACCACTCACTCTCACACACCTTTCTCACCTTCACAAACCACCCCTAAAGACCCTAATGATTATATCCTAGATCCAGAGGTGAAAGCGTAAAGTGAGTAAAAGGGCGCATGAATATACTTATTATAAGCCCTTTTGCGGGGCGCGCAGGTTTTCAGCTGTCTCACTTCGTGTACCAGGACGGACCTCGGGTGCGCTCCCCCCCGCCATGCCCAGCAGAAGAAGAAGAAGAAGAAGAAGAAGAAGAAGAAGAAGAAGAAGAAGAAGAAGAAGAAGAAGAAGAAGAAGAAGAAGAAGAAGAAGAAGAGGAAGAAGAAGAAGAAGAAGAAGAGAAGAAGAAGAAGAAGAAGAAGAAGAAGAAGAAGAAGAAGAAGAAGAAGAAGAAGAAGAAGAAGAAGAAGAAGAAGAAGAAGAAGAAGAAGAAGCGTGTTCAAACCCCTCTCCATACAAAAGAGAGAAAGAGTGTTGATCGCAAACCCCTGGGAAGAAGAAGATGAAGAAGAGTAAACAATAGGGAGAGGCAGAGGGAGAGGGGCAGAGGCAGAGGGAGAGGGGCAGGTGGAGGGGGCAGGGGCAAGGGCAAGGGGAAGGAGAAGAGCTGGTGGCGTGGGCAAGTGACGTGCGCAAGACCTAAGGCCACAAAGGATTATATACACACATTGCTGCATTACCCATAATATGTCTATTAGGTTATGTTAGAGATATATATATATATATGTATATGTACAGCTAAGCCTCGAGGACGGCAGCGTCTCGTCGTCGCTGTGTCCAGCTCATGTGGCGGCCATCGCTGGTCAGGCGGGGCAAAGAAGCAACCATCATCGACCGTTCCCCGAGTTTTTACCTCTTCGGCAGAAGAGGTGGCACAAGCAGCAGCCCTCCGATTCAATCCCATTCCACTTGCTTTCTGCTCTGATGCGCAGCCCTGTGGGGCCAAGCTTAGTCCACCCATACGCGGTTCCCCAAGAAGAACAAGCGAAGCTGCTGCCAGGTCGAAGCCCTGTCCATTCTCCATTCTGCCGGTGCTGACCTGCTCCACCGGCGGGATTGCTTGTCCAATGGCTTTGGGAAGGTCTGAGCTTCGGGTACTCAACAGCTTAAAGTGGATTTCAGGTGCCTTCTGGTTCTGTTTTTTGGTTGTGGAGTGCCGGTCGATGTGGAGTAGATGGAGTGTAGAGCCGTTACCTGCATGCAGTCGGTCTGCAGAAGATTTAAGCGTCAAACAAGCGGATTCGGATGGTGCGCACTGTCGAGTCACACGGTATGTACGTAAACAGCTATGCCGGCGCAAGCCACAAACAATAGTTTGGAGCGTGCTACATGTTCTTGCATGCATCGGGCATTTGACGTGCGCTCGACAAAGAAGCAACACCATCAACGAGTAGACCCTAAACCCTAAACCCTAAACCGCAAAAAGAAACCTAAACCCTACACCGGGAGAGAAAAACAACCCTAAACCCTAAACCCGAAACCCCCCAAAACCCCTAAGCCCCTGAACCCTAAACCCCTAAACCAGCCCTGCGAACGGGAAGCCAGGAACTGCCAGCGCATGGATGGCGCCACGCCGCTGGACTTCGCGGTTGATTGCGAGCAGGCCGAGGCGGAGGTGGGATCTCTTTAGGGTTTAGGGTTTAGGGTTTAGGGCTTTAGGGCTTTAGGGTTTAGGGTTTGGGGGTTTGCTACTTCTGTATTTATAATTACGCGACAAGAATGGTGTTCTCGAAAGGGGGGCCTAGGAACAGTTGAGCTTAGGTTTGCCTCTCTACACAATACAAAGCCAAGCCCCCTACCCTCCACAAGGGGCTGAACCTAGGTTGGCTCATTTGTACAAGTACAGTACATGTCGGCACTCATTTTGCAGACGCACATACATATACATCTGCATCTGCATATAGGGAAGAAGGTCGAATATATGTATATATATATATATATGTATATGGTCACCCCCCCCCATGATCCACACCTATGGTTTTCCTGTCTTCGTCTTTGTCTGCTACATACATACATATATGTATATATATATATATATATCTATGATCGAATCCGCCGCCTCAGTAGACTTGGCGAGGCCTGGCTCAGAGCCCGCGGGGCCGTCCACGGTGTGCTGGAGCAGTAGGCTGCGAGGCAGATCCGAAAATGTGGCGCTTCTGACGGCCGGGGTTGGGGGGGGGGTGATGGGGTTGTGGGGCCCGAGCTTAAGGTTTCAGGAAGTCTAAGGCAACTTTTGGCAGGCCACTGTCTTTCAGCGAAGGCCGCGTGCGTCCCACAAGAAAAGGCGCTCTCTCCCTCTCCTGCTCCCTCCCTCTCGGCTTGCTGTTCCCCCTTCCCTTCAGCTTGCGCCGGTTGTTTTGCTGCCATCCGGGGCCCAACTTCGGTGCGCCATGCCGCTTCCTGATCGCCCTCGCAAGCACAAGTTCTCCCGTGCCTCAGAGGCAAGAAGACTATTGCCTGGTGCCAAGTCTCATTTTCCCAGATCCTATTGCCAAATTGCCGAAGCACCCAATGTGTAGGGTTTGGAGAAGTCCCATCTTTCCCGAGAGCCCATAAGTGCCGCGAGCTGCTGACAAAGTCTCGGCGGGGCCCTCGTTTGCCATGCTCTTGCCCTGCCTTGCGCATTGTGACCCCCTTTCAGCACACCTTACGCTCTTGAGACCAAAAACTCAGCTTCATTCCACACCGTTTTCTGTAAAGCTCCTGGATCCAAATAATCTCTTCATGCTCCGTACCAAATTGCTTTTTCATGGTTGCGATTGTAGCTGGAACACAGGCCATGCATGATTCTGGGTGAGAAAGTATCGGTGGCATAGAGAACTTGCCAGGCCTTGTTGACTTCAACCACCACACTACGTAAACCCTGAAGGCTAAGCCCTACATGCTCAGCTAAGTGACAAAAATGGTTACGTGTTGTCGGCCTGGTCTCTGCCAGCCCATGCAGAAGGCAAGAAGCCCTCTTTGCCCTCTTTGCGCAAGGCAAATGTCCTGCTTCGCCGGCCTCACTGCGAGTGCCCCAGTGGCCTCAGGCCTGGCGGACCGCGGCAAAGGACGAGGCGCCCTGGGAGTTGGAGTTTGGGTGTCGTCCAGGGTCGACGCACAAGAGAAGTTGAGTTGAGGAGTGGGAGCTGTAGGCATGTCTTGCGTGTAGGAGTTGGGTTGCCCAAGTCCTTGATTACGCAGGGTAGACCGCCCAGAGATCCCGCCTGCCTGCATTTTCATCATGTACGGCTGCGCCAGACCCCGCAAGGCCGTGTCTATGCCAACATCACGGAAGCTCGTCACGCGAGCTGCTGTTGCAAGTGCCCAACACCCTTACAACCCTCGGACGCCTTATGGGCCCTTTAAAGCCCTCAGCACCCCCTCTAACCCCTCAAGAGGCACTTGGATTTGCGAGCTCTGGCTGAGGAAACCGTTGGAAACACGCCTTGCGTGAAGATCTCCGAGGAGATTTGCCCGAAGGGCCGCACCATCTACGCCAAGCTGGAGTACTTCAACCCACTTTCCAGCGCGCCTCGGCTTCTACAGACTTCAGGCAAATTTTTTGTCGAGGGATCGGAAAGAGAATCAGAGTTGTGCTGAGTGTTTGGTGAGGGGCTGTCAGGTGAAAGATCGCTTGGCCTGCGCCATCATTGAGGCACCTGGGAAGTTGTACAGAGACCAAAGCACAAAGAACTTCAGCAGAATGCGCCGTGAGGAAGTTGGGTGGTAGCTGAGGCAGTTGCGCTTTGCGCTGGTTGGCCCCACTCACATGTTGCGAAGCCTAACCGCCTGGTAGATTCAGCGTGCAGCAGCTCTGGCAGCTCCCCACTGCCTCTGCTCCCTTTGCGCGCGTGTCGTGACCTTCCCACGTCCTGGGCGGGGGCAGCAGGCTGTCGGGAGCAGCGGGCGCTTGACATCCCTTGAGTCTCCCGCTCAGTGTAAGTCAATCAGCGCGACGCTCCTGGTGCAATTTCGCCGTATATTTCGCACTTGTGTAGACATGATCTGCAAAAAAAGCGCGCCCCAAAGTCCTCGAAGAGTCCTCAACTGGAAAATGGACCGCAGTACAAGCGCCAAAAGAAGTGCTCCAGGATGCAGAGAAGAAGGGCCAGCTGAAGCCCGGCGACACCGTGATTGAGGTGCTCCGGCCTCGTCCGTGTCTCTTCGTGGAGGTTGCATGATATGCATCTGGGGCTCTTCAGTTTCTTCAGTGCAAAAGGAGCTGTGATGACAAAGCGCAGGCCACCTCGGGAAACACGGGCATTGCTGTGGCGATGTTGTGCGCCCAGCGCGGATACAAGCGCCGCGGCAGAGAGCAATGAGGGGAAGTCCGGGGCAGTAGCTTGCCCCGGACAGGGTCTTCAGCAGGTGTGTCATCACCATGGCGGAGCCTTTCTCCATCGAGCGGAGGAAGCTGATGCGCTTCATGGGAGCCAAGGCGCCTGGGAAACCCGGAAAGTTGACCGCTGGGTACTGAGGCGAACAAAGCGTTCCCAGGTGGGGGGGGGGTAGGGGGTGGGGGCAAGGGGTGCTGCAGGATGCTGTTGTGTCAAGTGTGAAAAGGAGAGAAAGAAGAGGCAGGAGAATCATGATGATAAAGGGGGGGGTGCATATCCGCCCAGTATGCCTGGTCCAAGATCCCCCCCTGGTCCCGGCACGTGGACACTGGTCAGCTTGGGGGGGACCTAGTTCGAGTCAAAAAACGCTTGGCTTCCTCGGAGGGGGCTAGGGGGTGGGCATCCTATCTAAGTTCCCGAGACCTGGATCTAAACGCCTCACACCGGCCTCGGCGGATTTAAGACTCCCTCGCTTGCGCCACCATTGCCTAGCGTCAATGTCACTCCTGGCCAGGTCATCATCACTCCCAAGGCAGGCAAGGCAACCGGAGGTTTTGCCAAAGCGAAAGAGCTTGCAGAGAAGAACGGCTGGCCGCTTGGCGCCACCTGGGTGTGTGTGTTTGCTGCGCAGCCCGGTTCCAAGCCACAGAAGCTGCCGAGAGCAGCTGCTGGCCACGAAGCTTAGCCTTGTTTGGTTGCCGTGAGGTTCCTTTGCCGGCAGTTCGAGAACGAGGCGAATGCCGAGTTCCACTACAAGACCACAGGCCAGGAGATTTTGAACGACTTCGAGGGCATGAAGCTGGACTACTACGTGCTGGGCTATGGCACGGGTGGCACTTTTGCTGGCGCCGGCAAGGCCATCAAGGAGAGGACAAAAACGACGTGTGCGTTTGGGATTTGAGGGATTCAGCCTCTTAGGTACTCGTAGAGACTTGCGCAGGAGAAGCGCCCAGACGTGAAGATCTGCCTGGGCGAGCCGGCCGATGCCCCGCTCGTGGCCTCTGGAACCAAGACCGAGCGAAACGCGGATGGATCGGCCACCGGCTCGCACCCGGCCTTCAAGCCCCACCCCATCCAGGGCTGGACCCCGGACTTTATCCCGCAGATCGCAGAGAAGGGCATCCTCGACACCGGCTACGACGAGTTCGTGCCTATCCCAGGTCAGGCGGCCATCGACATGTCCCAGGCCTTGGCGAAAACACAGGGCATCTTCACCGGAATCTCTGGAGGCGCCTCCATGTATGCCGCAGTTGAGATGGCCAAGAAGGCGCCCGAGGGCTCGGTGTTGGTGGCGATGCTGGCCGACACCGGCGAGCGCTACCTCTCCACTCCCCTCTTCGCCTCCATCAGCGCCGACATGCGCCTCGAGCGTGCTCTTTCAGAAGTCTGCCGTAGTTTCTTTCAGATTTGTCGAAGTGATGTGAGACTGATATGAGTCATGCGTATTCAGGCTGTATTCATGCATTATGTTGGTTCTCCCCAAGCCAAAGTCACGCAACCCTGGCCATGGAGCCCGGGGAAGTCCGTGTCGCAGGAACGAGGAGGAGCTGGCCATCTCCAAGTCCACGCCGAACTTCCAACTCTGAGTGCTCAGGTCCCAAAAAACCCTGAACCCTAAACCCTAAACCCTAAACCCTAAACCCTAAACCCTAAACCCTAGACCCTCTTTTTGCAGCCCTTGGAATTTAAAGCTACGCGACCCGCCTCGGTCGGGGCTGTGGCGAGGCAAGGTCGCCACTTCAGGAAAGCTCTTCTGGAGGGAAGGGTAGTTACATGGTCCCTTAGTAGGTGCACCTTATATATCCCTTATATACCCGGTACAAATGAAGGGCCCATACATCAGAACCCTTTAAAGGAGGTTAGGGACCAAATTAAGGGCCCATGCAACTACTCCCAGAAAGGAGGGGGGGCATCCAGACTCCTACGGCCCGCGGACTCGGCTGATGGCTGATCTCTGGTCTCTGGACGGACGGCGGCAAAAAGAGGGCTGAAGGTTGGCTTACCTGTATATGGTATAGTTATTGTTTTAATGAATCTGTTCCGCAAGGGCGCACACGCACGCACTTGCTTGTGCCAAGGGGTGCTTATGAGCATGTCTGCAACTCCCCTTGTGTTGTTTTGTCCTTGCGCCGCCCTCAGAAGTAGGGAAGGTGTTTCAGACTTCTGGGTCCAAGAGAGTAGTTGGCGCTGAAAAGAGAAGATTCCTTATACATGCGCATGTATCATAGGGTTTATGATCGATTCCGCAGCCTCAGACCCTGCAGGCCTAGCAGGTCACGGTGCCGATGTGTTGGAGCAGCATGTGACCCTTTCAACAGGCAACCGTAAACCCTCAACCCCTCAATCCTAAGCCCTAAACCCTAAAACCCTAAACCCTAACCCTCAACCCTACATCTTGACGTTCGGGGAGGGTAGTGATCTGGCTTGCTGATCTTTCTGCGGCGCCTCAGGCAATCGTGGAGAGTGGAGCTGTCGACTGTGTTTCAGCACAGGCAAAGAGCATCCACAAGAAAAGGTTCTCCCCTCCTCCTCTGTCCCTCTCCCTCTCACTCTGCTTGCTGTTCCCTTCCTTCCCTTTAGTTTGCGCGGCTTGTGTTGCTGCCATCTGGGCCCAACTTCGGTGCGCATGCCGCATACTCATCGCTCACTGGCACAAGCGCTCCCGTGCCTCGGAGGCAAGAAGACTTTGCCAAGTGCCAAGCCCCGGGGTCCCAGATCCCATTGCTAAACATTCGACGTACCGAATGTTTCGGGTTTGGAGAAGTCCGATCTCGCCCACTCGGTCACACTGTGATGCCCGGGGTTTAGCTGTGAACCACAGACGGTCCTTGACGTGTCCTTACGTTCATGACCCGGATCTCGCCTGTGAAAATCGCATGGCGCCACCTTTTAAGGGTACCCGGCACGGTTCGCAGAGGCCCGGATGCAAAATGAGAAGTCCAATCCTTGCCGACAGCCCAGGAGTGCCGCGAGCCGCTGACAGCCACGAGCTGCTGACAAAGTCTCGGCGGGGCCCTCGTTTGCCATGCTCTTGCCCTGCCCTTTTTCAAAACTCAAAAACTCAACCTCACTCCCGAAGACACACTGCCCCGAACACCGTTTTCTGTAAAGCTCCTGGACCCAAATCTGCTCATGCCAAGTACCAAGTGGCTTTTTCATGGTTCGATTATAGCTGGAACACCGGCAATGCATGATTCTGGAATGGTGAGAAATTATGGCTAGCATAGAGTTTGCGAGGCCTCATGATGCACCTCACCCACCGCCGACCTAAACACTACGCAAACCCTGAAGCCTAGTTCAGCTGAGCAGATGGCAAGAAAAAGACTGCATGTTCTCTGAAGGCAAGAACGATCCCAAGCCCTCTTTGCCCTCTTTGCCCAAGGCAAATGTCCTGCTTCGCCGGCCTCACCGCGAGTGCCCCTGTGGCCTCAGGCCTGGCGGACCGCGGCAAAGGACGAGGCGCCCAGGGAGTCGGAGTTTGGGTGTCGTCCAGGGTCGACGTGCAGGAGAAGTGGAGGAGTGGGAGCGGTAGAGCCATGTCTTGCGTGCAGGAGCTGTGTTGCCCATGTTAGAGCACATCAGTCCTTGAGAATGCAGAGTAGACCTCCCAGAGATCCCACCTGCTTGCAGTAATTGACTTCAATTAACCGTCACATTTTCATCATGTGCGGCTGCACCATGAGCCACACGAACCCCGCAAGGCCGTGTCTATGCCAACATCACGGAAGCTTGTCACGCGAGCTGCTGATGCAAGTGCCCGGCTCCTTAAGCCCGGATTTGCGAGCTCTGGCTGAGGAAACCGTTGGCAACACGCCTTGCGTGAAGATCTCCGAGGAGATTTGCCCGAAGGGCCGCACCATCTACGCCAAGCTGGAGTACTTCAACCCACTATCTAGCGCGCCTCGGCTTTTTCAAGCAAGTTTCTTGTAGAGGCAACTGCAAAAAATGAGAATGATCATGCCGGGGGCTGTCAGGTGAAAGATCGCCTCGCCTGCGCCATCATTGAGGCACCTTGGGAGTTGTGCAGAGACCAAAGCACAAAGAACTTCAGCAGAATGCGGCGTGAGGAAGTTGGGTGGTAGCTGAGGCAGTTGCGCTTTGCGCTTGTTGGCCCCACTCACATGTTGCGAAGCCTAACCGCCCAGTGGATTCAAGCGTGCTGCAGCTCTGGCAGCTCCCCACTGCCTCTGCTCCTTTTGCGTGTGTCGTGACAAAGACACCAAGAAGGGCCTTGGGGTCCGCGTCAGTCAGGACTCATACTGGCACTCCTTCGCGCTCCTTCCGTCCGAAGTCCGAACACCAGCTGGCGCCGGGGGTATGCGATGCGTATGGCAGGGTCGCGTCGGTGGGTGGGTGGGGGGCAGCATGCTGTCGGGAGCAGCGCGCCCTTCAGTCTTGGCCCCGCTCCACTTCTCCTTCTTTGTGAGGTCCATGAGCACATTGCTCCTGGTGCAATGTTGCCACATTTCACTTTCTTTGCTTGCACCAATGGCGTAGACGTGTATGGCTGGGAGATCGCAGTAGAACCACAATCCCTCAGCGCAGTACAAGCGCCAACAGAAGTGCTCCAGGATGCAGAGAAGAAGGGCCAGCTGAAGCCCGGCGACACCGTGATTGAGGTGCGCCGGCCTCGTCCGTGTCTCTTCGTGGATGTTGCATGATATGGTAGCATCTGGGGCTCTTCAGTCTCTTCAGTGCAAATGGAGCTGTGATGACAAAGCGCAGGCCACCTCGGGAAACACGGGCATTGCTGTGGCGATGTTGTGCGCCCAGCGCGGATACAAGCGCCGCGGCAGAGAGCAATGTCGGCAACGTGTGCCAGGGGAAGTCCGGGGCAGTCGGGGCAGTAGCTTGCCCCGGACAGTGTCTTCAGCAGGTGTGTCATCACCATGGCGGAGCCTTTCTCCATCGAGCGGAGGAAGCTGATGCGCTTCATGGGAGCCAAGGCATCTGGGAAAGCCGGAAAGCGCCTTGATTTTGGAGTCTTTCTCGCTTGCCCCACCCTTTCCTGGGATGTCAACATCATGGGATGTCCTGGCCAGGTGATCATCACTCCCAAGGCAGGCAAGGGAACCGGCATGGTTGCCAAAGCGAAAGAGCTCGCAGAGAAGCACGGCTGGCTGCTTGGCGCCACCCCCTCTGTGTGTCTGTGCTCCAAGCCACAGAAACTGATAGCTGCTGGCCACGAAGCGTACTGTAGTCTTGTTGGTTGCCATGAGGTTCCTTTGCCGGCAGTTCGAGAACGAGGCGAATGCCGAGTTCCACTACAAGACCACAGGCCAGGAGATTTTGAACGACTTCGAGGGCATGAAGCTGGACTACTACGTGCTGGGCTATGGCACGGGTGGCACTTTTGCTGGCGCCGGCAAGGCCATCAAGGAGGGGGGTGGGCAAAAACGACGTGTGCCACTCTGAGGTCGCAAGGTTGAGGCGGGTGGGTCTCTTGCCTCAAGCCGTTGTGTGCGTTTGGGATTGGAGGGATTCAGCCTCTTAGGTGAGTCGTAGAGACTTGCGCTCGAAGGAGAAGCGCCCAGACGTGAAGATCTGCCTGGGCGAGCCGGCCGATGCCCCGCTCGTGGCCTCTGGAACCAAGACCGAGCGAAACGCGGATGGATCGGCCACCGGCTCGCACCCGGCCTTCAAGCCCCACCCCATCCAGGGCTGGACCCCGGACTTTATCCCGCAGATCGCAGAGAAGGGCATCCTCGACACCGGCTACGACGAGTTCGTGCCTATCCCAGGTCAGGCGGCCATCGACATGTCCCAGGCCTTGGCGAAAACACAGGGCATCTTCACCGGAATCTCTGGAGGCGCCTCCATGTATGCCGCAGTTGAGATGGCCAAGAAGGCGCCCGAGGGCTCGGTGTTGGTGGCGATGCTGGCAGACACCGGCGAGCGCTACCTCTCCACTCCCCTCTTCGCCTCCATCAGCGCCGACATGCGCCTCGGGCGTGTTCTTTCAGAAGTCTTTCGTAGTGATATGAGACTGTTTTGACTCATGCAGTATGTGCTCATGCTACTGTATGGTCGGCCTCCCCAGAGTCACGCAACCGCGGTCATGGGGCCCGTAGCCGGGGAAGTGTCGCAGGAACGAGGAGGAGCTGGCCATCTCCAAGTCCACGCCGAACTTCCAGCTCTAGGTCCTCAAGTTTTTCAAAAATTTTTGCAGCCCTGCGGGCTCTGAATCTCTGGACGGACTGCGGTACCCATTTTGAACAAAGAGGGCTGACTGAGGTTGGGGCCCACTAGCATACAGAATACAGTTGTTCTACTTACATTCGTCAAACATGCACATAGATCATAGTTGTTCTGATCGAATCCGCAGCCTCAGCGTCGAAACATTCGAGCCTGGTTCAGAGTTCACAGGGCCGATGCGTTGGAGAAGTAGGCTGCGAGGCAAACAGATCTGAAAACGTGGCGCTTCTGACGGGCGGGGAGCGTTTAGTGATGGGGGTGTGGGGCCCAGGGCCCACGCTTAAGAATCGCTTAAGAGATCAGGAATTCTATGGGCAACTCCGGGCAGGACAACTGTTTCGGCAAGCAGCTCCGGCGTTCGGGGAGGGAATGGTCTTGCGTGGACGCTTCGTGCCAATCGGATCGTGAAGAGCGCGGAGCTCTCGCTCTCTCTCCCTCTCTCTCCGCGTCTCTCTCTCTCTCTCTCCCCTCTCGCTCTGCCTTTTCTGTTTCCCTCTCTTCCTCTCACTCTGCTTGCTGTTTCCACTTCTTGAGTTTGCGCCGTTTGTTTTTGCTGCCATCTGGGCCCCACTTCGGTGCGCATGCCGCTCACTGATCGCTCTCACGAGCACAAGTTCTCCCGTGCTTCGGAGGCAACAAGACTATTGCCGGCCTACCGAATGTTTAGGGTTTGGAGAAGTCCCATCTATGCCGAAAGCCTAGGAGTGCCGCGAGCTGCTGACAAAGTCTCGGCGGGGCCCTCGTTTGCCATGCTCTTGCCCTGCCTGTCGCATTGTGAAACCTTTCAGCACACCTTACACTCTTTAGTCCCGAAAACTCAACCTCACTCCCGAAGACACCGTTTTCTGTAAATCTCCTAGGCCCAGATCTCCCCCATACCTGGTACAACATTGATTTTTCATGGTTCCGACTGTAGCTGGAACACAGGCCATGCATGATTCTGGAATGGTGAGAAAGTATAGCTAGCATAGAATTTGCTAGACCTTTTGGACCTCAACCACCGCCGACCTAAACGCGATGCAACCTCTGAAGCCTACACCCCACATGTTCAGCTGAGCGGATGGCAAGAAAATACAGCATGTTCTGTGAAGGCAAGAGCGATCTTTGCCCAAGGCAAATGTCCTGCTTCGCCGGCCTCACGGCGAGTGCCCCTGTGGCGTCAGGCCTGGCGGACCGCGGCAAAGGACGAGGCGCCCAGGGAGTTGGGTGGGTTTCGGGGTTTGTTGTGTAGAGGTTTAGGGGTTGGCCGTTTATTGTTTAAGAGGCGGAGAGTGCTGCAATTACAGGGTTGTGGGTGCTGTAGAGGTTTATTGGATTGAGAGTTTAGGTGTCGTCCAGGGTCGACGCGCAAGCGAAGCTGAGGAGTGGGAGATGTCTTGCGCGTATAGGAGCTGGGTTGCCCATGTTGAAGCACAGCAGGCCTTGTACGTAGACCTTCCGGAGATTTTGCCTGCTTGCAGTCATTAACCATCACACCATGACCACACAGACCTGGCAAGGCCGTGTCTATGCCAACATCACGGAAGCTCGTCACGCGAGCTGCTGTTGCAAGTGCCCAAAACCCTTGCAACCCTTGGACCCTCACAGCGCCCTCACACCTCCCCTCAACACCCCTAAGCCCTCCCAGCCCCCCGTACACCTTCCCCTACACTGCCTTAAACCACCCTCGCCCCCCCCCCTCCCCTACACCCCCTAACAGGCCTTACATCCCGTTTGCACCACCCCCCCCCCCGCCCTTACCCACCTTACACCCCCCTTACACCCTCTCACACCCCCCGTTTCACCTTCCCGACCCCCCTTACACCTTCCCTACACTGCTCTTTAAACCACCCTTACACCGTACCCCTTACACCCCCTCACACCCCCCTCACACCCCCCTTGCACAACGCACGATCAACACATGTTCGGTGTGGGCAACCCCTCCAACCCCTGAAGAGGCACTTGCATCTGCGAGCTCTGGCTGAGGAAACCGTTGGCAACACGCCTTGCGTGAAGATCTCCGAGGAGATTTGCCCCAAGGGCCGCACCATCTACGCCAAGCTGGAGTACTTCAACCCACTATCTAGCGCGCCTCGGCTTTTTCAAGCAAGTTTCTTGTAGAGGCAACTGCAAAAAATGACAATGATCATGCCGATGACTCTTATCGTGTTTGGTGGGGGGCTTGTCAGGTGAAAGATCGCCTCGCCTGCGCCATCATTGAGGCAACGTGGAAGCTGTGCAGAGACCGCAGCACAAGAACTGCTGGAGGAAGTTGGGTGGTAGCTGAGGCAGTTGCGCTTTGCGCGGGTTGGCCCCACTCACATGTTGCGAAGCCTCACCGCCTGGTAGATTCAGCGTGCTGCAGCTCTGGCAGCTCCCCACTGCCTCTGCTCCCTTTGCGCGCGTGTCGTGACAAAGACACCAAGAACGTCAGTCAGGACTCATACTGGCACTCCTTCACGCTCCTTCCTTCTGTCCGAAGTCCGAACACCAGGTATGCGATGCGTATGGCAGGGTCGCGTCGGTGGGGGGGGCAGCATGCTGTCGGGAGCAGCGGGCCCTTGAGTCTTGGCCTCTCCTTCTTTGTGAGGTCCATGAGCACATTGCTCCTGGTGCAATTTTGCCACATTCCACTTCTTTGCTTACACCAATGGCGTAGATGCGTATGGCTGGGATCAAAGTAGAACCACAATTCCTCAACGCAGTACAAGCGCCAAACGAAGTTGTTCAGGATGCAGAGAAGAAGGGCCAGCTGAAGCCTGGCGACACCGTGATTGAGGTGCTCCGGCCTCGTCCGTGTCTCTTCGTGGATGTTGCATGATATGGTAGCATCTGGGGCTCTTCAGTCTCTTCAGTGCAAATGGAGCTGTGATGACAAAGCGCAGGCCACCTCGGGAAACACGGGCATTGCTGTGGCGATGTTGTGCGCCCAGCGCGGATACAAGCGCCGCGGCAGAGAGCAATGTCGGCAAAGTGGGGAAGTCCGGAGCAGTAGCTTGCCCCGGACAGTGTCTTCAGATGCCGAATGTAGCGGTTTGCGCAAAAAGCTGTGGCAGGTGCGTCATCACCATGGCGGAGCCTTTCTCCATCGAGCGCAGGAAGCTGATGCGCTTCATGGGAGCCAAGGCGCCTGGGAAAGCCGGAAAGCGCCTTGATTTTGGAGTCTTGCTCGCTTGCCCCACCCTTTCCTGGGGTGGCAATTGGGATGGATGTCCGTGCCAGGTGATCATCACTCCCAAGGCAGGCAAGGGAACCGGCATGGTTGCCAAAGCGAAAGAGCTCGCAGAGAAGCACGGCTGGCTGCTTGGCGCCACCCCCTCTGTGTGTGTGTGTGTGTGTGTGCGTGCTGCGCAGCCCGCCTCCGACCCACAGATCTGCTGATAGCTGCTGGCCACGAAGCTTGGTCTTGTTTGGTTGCCGTGAGGTTCCTTTGCCGGCAGTTCGAGAACGAGGCGAATGCCGAGTTCCACTACAAGACCACAGGCCAGGAGATTTTGAACGACTTCGAGGGCATGAAGCTGGACTACTACGTGCTGGGCTATGGCACGGGTGGCACTTTTGCTGGCGCCGGCAAGGCCATCAAGGAGGGGGGTGGGCAAAAACGACGTGTGCCACTCTGAGGTCGCAAGGTTGAGGCGGGTGGGTCTCTTGCCTCAAGCCGTTGTGTGCGTTTGGGATTGGAGGGATTCAGCCTCTTAGGTGAGTCGTAGAGACTTGCGCTCGAAGGAGAAGCGCCCAGACGTGAAGATCTGCCTGGGCGAGCCGGCCGATGCCCCGCTCGTGGCCTCTGGAACCAAGACCGAGCGAAACGCGGATGGATCGGCCACCGGCTCGCACCCGGCCTTCAAGCCCCACCCCATCCAGGGCTGGACCCCGGACTTTATCCCGCAGATCGCAGAGAAGGGCATCCTCGACACCGGCTACGACGAGTTCGTGCCTATCCCAGGTCAGGCGGCCATCGACATGTCCCAGGCCTTGGCGAAAACACAGGGCATCTTCACCGGAATCTCTGGAGGCGCCTCCATGTATGCCGCAGTTGAGATGGCCAAGAAGGCGCCCGAGGGCTCGGTGTTGGTGGCGATGCTGGCAGACACCGGCGAGCGCTACCTCTCCACTCCCCTCTTCGCCTCCATCAGCGCCGACATGCGCCTCGGGCGTGTTCTTTCAGAAGTCTTTCGTAGTGATATGAGACTGTTTTGACTCATGCAGTATGTGCTCATGCTACTGTATGGTCGGCCTCCCCAAAGTCACGCAACCGCGGTCATGGGGCCCTTAGCCGCGGAAGCCCGTGTCGCAGGAACGAGGAGGAGCTGGCCATCTCCAAGTCCACGCCGAACTTCCAGCTCTGAGCCGGCGGCACAGGTTTTAGTCTCTCTTGACTGGCTGCGGTACCAGTTTTGCAAACGCAGCCGCTCAAAAAAGGTGAACCGCTCTGCACTTCTCGCAGGAAGATTGCGCCCACTCCTTTCCTAGAAAGCCAAAGCCCTTGCCCTCTCTGTCGCGACCTAGATCGCTCCCGATTGACTCCTTATGGTGCATGAGTCAGCAGGACATCATGGATGTAACGCCGGTCGGCACGAAGCCCGCCAAGGAGGCGCCTTATGCATCGCAGAGACATACTTCAAGTTTTATACTACAATATAATTCAGATTAGGATCTTTATGTATCATTAATTATTACGGTTTGAGATTCACAAGTTTTCTTTCAGACTTAAGTCTACGTCCCTTTCAGCGGGGTTCCACCTCTCGAAGCTCCAACTGTTTTGTTTCGGATCTCGGTCTAGGACCACCTCCCAGAACCTTCCCATTGCGGTCGGCCAAAATTAGTGCAGACGGCAAGTCTCTTCAAATTGTAGCTTGGTGTTGCGGTTTGTTCCCTGGTTGCTCTTGAATTTTCTTCGTTTCTGGGTGGCCCTGAGCCGGCTCAGGAGAAGCGCCCCGCCACCGCCGGAGCACCGGCGCCAGTGCCGGTGACAACTCTTCGCGAGAGCTGCCCGGTGTGCATTGGGTGGAGGGGTTTGGCGATGTTTAGGTGGAGTGAAGGGTCGGGGTTCGAGGGATCAGTGAGGGAAGCTTGGGGTAGGGGTGTTCGTTTGCGGCATCGAGAGCCGATAGGCTGGGAAGCATTCGTTTTGATGACCTGCCCGGACCAAGGTGAAGGCGAAGGCCATCCATCCTACAGCTGCAAGAAATTGTCAGACCACGGGCGATGGCCAACCCACAGTAAGCTTAAGTGCCAGTGCATGATTTGCAGACTTGGCAGAAGAGACTTGGACCCCGCTAGTGTGAAGGGCTTGTGGGCGTCAGACCCTGCCGTTGCAGATCGTTGCAGGCCGGCCGACAGTGGAGATGACCACTCATTACATCTCAGTTGGCAGATGGAGGCCAGCCACGGTCGGCTAAAGTGGCAAAGTCCTTTCATAGCATTCCTGACCATGCCTGTAATGCCTGTGGCGTTTCGCATCAGGAACTTGATCAACTCCATGATTTTCTACTCCATCACTCTCTTCATCTTCTTGCCGCCTGCACTATCAACTGCTCGACCGCAACCCTGAAGCGCGACATTTTGTTTCGGCCGTGATGCAGTCCCCAGGATTGATAGTTTGTACTAGGAAGTGTCTGCCTCATATTGAGGCTTTGCGACATCTCCTTGGCCAACTGCACCAATGCCATTGCATTGGATCCTAACGTAGTGACTTGGATCACGTATGCCGAAAATGGCGTGTCCACATAGATTCTTTCTTCAGCTTTACATTTTGCCAACTCATAGTCCTTGAGGCGACGAATCCGTACTTCGGGGGGTACTTGCCCGGGCCTTTGCCAGGGTCCGTGTAGCTCGCCCCACAGACTCTGTCTTCTGACACAGTGCTTGTCCAAGCTCTGATGCCTCCGGGCATTCAGGTTCTGGATGTTCCTGGGCATCATTGGGATGTACATCGGTTGGATCTACGGTGCAGGTGGGAGAGATTGGCTGCGACATCCTTCCAGCCCTCAACCGCCAGCCCAGCCTTTCCAGCCTTTCTCGCAAGCAGCAAGATGCGTTCGCACGGTCCTTCTTGGATCTTCTTGGGGCGGAGGGACGTAGCTTGCTGGTGGATTGTTGCTGGAACTCTGCGCGCCATCTGTTTCTGCAAACGGGGTAGCATGCACTGGCACGGGCTGTAAATGGCTCTTGGATGACAGTGCTAGCCTGCGGTTGGTGTCAGATTGTGCTGCAAGCGCGCGGAAGGCTTCTCCTTGCGCATCTCCAACTACGTCCACGGCATCCTGGCCACGTAAGAGCCTCCTGTTTCACTGCGAACGTCATGGGTTTTCAGCTTGTAAACCTCACTGCTTCTGTTTCTCTACAGGGCAGGTTGACTACGCGAGCGGAGGACTGTCTGATATGGGTTTAGGTAGAAGTAAGAGGTACTGCAGATCAGGCCTGATAAGCGTCCTGTCTATTTAGCACTGAGGAGCTGGTGGTCTGATGCGACATGTGTGCGCTTCCCCAAAGCATCCCGCAGGCTGCCCTGAAACCCAGCCTGGCCAGACCCGAAGCAGGCAGAATTGTGCACCAGCTCCTCCATGCCCCGATTGACGCTGGGCCACAGCACGGCTTGGTGAAGTCATGCTTAGTGTTGGAGAGTCGGAAGTCAAGGGTTCAGGTTTCGTGATTATGGAGAAGCCTAAGTAAGCCAAAGAGGAGGACGGCTTGACTTCGATTTCGCTTGAGCTCGTGTGAAGATTGCTTCCCACGGCACTTTTCGACACTGCTTCTATATGTGTAGTTGTTGTCCTTGTGGCACCGGTGTGGATTAGACTTAGTTGTTCTCAGGTAGCCCGAAAGCCCTTAACCCCGGCACCCCCATTATTTACCCAGGATCGCTTCTTTGACAAGCAGCCTGTGGGCCGCATCATGAACCGCCTGACCATGGACATGTCAACCATTGACCTCTACCTCTTCATGAAGGCCCCAGGGCTCTTCGGGTTTGGGGTTTTTTAGGAGTTCAGGGGCGACAAAAAATGGCGGCGTGCCCCATGTGTGCAGTGTAGCGGTGAATGTTCATCTTCTGCACGCTGGCCCTCGCAGGTCTCTGGCAGTGTGATGATCTTCTTCCAGAATCCTGTCAGCACGAGCTGACGCAGTGTTGGGCCGAGGGTTCTGTGCGTTTGTTGGCCTTTGTCGAGTACAGGACGCTGGTGCCACTGGCTTACATCCATGCCATTCTGCCCTGGTACATGTCGCTCTTCGCGCTGCCGTTCTACTATGTGGTCTTCATGCTGTGACTTGGCTCGGTCTCTGTGTTCACATCTCTGGGGATCGTAAGTGGCTGAGTGGGAGCTGATTTGTGGCTGCATTGGTGCGCAGGTACCTGCGCTACCAGAACACGGCTGTTCCCCTGCGCTACTGCTTCAAGACATCTTCCTCCATCACGCAGAGTCACCTGTCAGATGCTACTTGGTTGCAGGGGCCGTTGGGCTGCTGAACTCTCCACATGCCAAGAGCTTTCAAGCAGTTGCCTCGCCTGGATCCTGAACCCAACCTGGCAGCCTCCCCCTGCAACATGTCTCGATGGTCACTTCAGGTGATGACGAACACCGTGGTGGTGCGTGGTTTCGGTGAGCAGAATCGCATCGCAGTTACTTATGCGGCCCCATGGCTGGCATGAAGAACTTTGAAAGCGTGGCCCGTATCCAGCACACGCGACGATGATGTAGAGCCCCTCCGCCCCCGCCCCTTTCTGTTGAGGCATGCAGACTAGCTTAGCCTCGTGAAATGCGAAGAGCAGCTCTAGCCCGATTGTGGAGGGCCATCTAACACTTTCTCCCGGCCCCTGACACTGGTCGCGTGGCGGGTACACCCCAACCCCCCCCCCCCCCCGAGAAAGAAAAAGGCCAACGGCCAGACATTGAGGTTTCGGGTAATTCCCTTATTAAGGACCGGTACTGGTTTTGAGGATAGCAGGCTCCGGTACCGGGCCCATGTGACTGTGGGAGGCGCCTAACCTTGAGTTGAGGGTCTCATCTATCTCAAGCAAGTTTGAGTTTGGGACGGCGGGGGGGGGGGGGGATTTCCTGAGTTTGAGGGCTTTAGGGCTCTGTGTGGGGTGGAAGGGCATGGCTCGATGACCGAGGGTTGTGTCGACAACTCCGTGAAGGTGCAACCGTCTTCAGGGTTTAGGGTGGGGGCTTCCGAAATTAGGGGGATGCCTTCCTGGAGCCCCTTGTTATTAAGGAATCCTACTGTCTGGGGATCAAAAATAAGGGGTCCCTTGTTTTGGTAAACCCCCAAGTGGGGCTGGGGCCTCAGGGAAGGCAGGCTTGTGCGAGATATCCTGCGAAAGTAACCTGCAAGATGGAGGGCTTGCCGCAAGTCCTCCATGGCCAGGCATGTGTCGAGTGTTCTAAGTGGGTTATTCTAGGCCAATTTTGCCCAAGCCCCTCTGTTGTTCGCAGACTCTTCGCTGTTGCAGTGCAACGTCTGACCTGACTTGTGGCGCTATTCGTGACATCCGAAAAGTTAACTTTGGTGAGCAGGCTCTTGGAACCCGGCGTGTCAACAGTGATGGCTGGAACTCATCAACCGCATGGCTGCAGCTGCCGTCACGAGCATGCTTAGACTTAAAGTCTGTCATTCCATGCCATGCCAGTCTGGCGGACTGCCTTCTTGTCGTTACGCTTGTCGTGGTGTACTTCAGATCCCCGGTCGCAGGCAGATCTTACTGACGATCGGCTCATGAAGCGCTGGCTGTGCAACCGCGTGAACTACCTGTGGACATTCTACAACTCGGTCGCATGGCAAAGGGTCATCTAGCGGAGGAGCTCTTGAAGGTATGTGCCGTTTGTTTAGACGAGCCGGCTTGATCTTTACTTCATGTGTGCAATCGTGCTGCCACGGTGGAAGTCATGTTTAAGGTTTCAGTGCCTTCCCCGAGTCTTGTGCTAAGCGAAAGTTCCTTTGCAGTGACGAACAGTCTAAGCTGCATACCGTGCCAACGGCAGTAGTTCGTTGACGGGCAAGGTAGCTGCAATGTCAATGACATCTTGAACATCTTGAAAACCCACTTGAGCCAATGTAGTTCCGTGCAGTATCCCTTGGACTGCAGCCTTCAAAAAAGACTTTCATCCTGTACTCCAGTATTTGAGTCTGAATCAAACTACACTCATATAACGCTACAGCGGGTAAACTTGTGATTTGTAGAACTCGTGCCTCCGTTCTCTCGCAATGCTGCAAGGCATGTCCCACATGAACAGACCCCGAACTCTTGTTTACCCTAAAAGATAGGACAAAAGATGCGACCTTCGCATCGCGACGCACCAAGATCTCATACATCATTGGCCTCTACAACGCCTCGTGGTTGGGCCCCGGCACCCTGGGCATCGCCTTGCGCCTTTGACTTCTCAGCAGCTTTGGAGGGGATGTTGGAAGACAGGGCTAGTGGCCGTGGGCGTTTCGGACACATAGGCCGTGATTTATGCTCCAGCGTGCGAGAAATAGAAGATGAAGGGATCCCCACCCTGTGTAAACCTACACCTCAAACACCCGAGAAATCCAAGGACGAACTTGCTGTTGCTCGAGCCGCCCGGTGGCAATCAAGATTGGGGTGCTGGGAAGATGATAGGAGGTTTGACCGACCTGTGTGGTTAATGCTGCTAACACAGATTGACGAAGATCGAAGGTCAGGTGAGTACTTTCCGATAGCTTTACCTTGCTCGTCAGTGGCTTTGGTGCTGTGCATGCTGAGCCTGCTTGTCCTCAGGGGCATGATCGAGCCCAGCCTGGAGATGATGGCCGGCGCCCTCTTCGAGCTCATCGCGCTTGCGCGCGTGCATGAGTACACCTCGGTGCCTGGTCATGTTTTTTCCCCCAAGGAGCTCATCTTGAGTTGGAGCATTGAAGTACTAGGTGATGTGCTCACTGTGGCATCATTGTAGGCTGGTCCACAGTGCCTGGTCAGGTGACACAGGAAAAGGCGATGTACAATGTCGAGGACACATGCCGACCGAGACAATCGGAACCAGAGAACACGCAGTAGGTTCGGCGAGGGCCGTGCTCTAATGCAGCAGGGGGCAGTATGGCTGCGCATTGAGACGCTCACACGCAAGAGCCGCAAAGGACGCCAAGCTGCGCAACCACACCGTTCGATTCCTGCGCAGCAAGGCCACCCCGCTCACCGTGCGTGCGCCTTGGGTCGCACGAAGTTGGTACCAAATCCATCCGAGAACTGAAAATTCTGGTAGGGTGTTCCGGATCATTCAGACATTCAGTTTTCTTTGGCAGCTGCAAGATGCTGCAGGCACCATGGGCCTGTCCTTGTGTTGCAGTTGCTTGACCCAAGCCCAGTGCCTCCTGAACATAGGGTGACGGCATTCTATATAGGATGCTAGGGAAATGCCGACTCAGGAGGCAGACGATAGGGTCGAGGTCCTTGCGACACTTGGAAGACAATGTGTGCTCCGAAGTTTGCTATGTGCAGGAGGTTGCTGTGGGGTGACCTTGACAGGCTGTAGGAAATTTGCCATAAAAGTCCGGGCTTTGAAGAGAAGATTTTGCGTGATATGTGGATCTAAAGTCTAGGCTGCCCATGCTGAGGAATGGCAAAGTCTTGCTCCACTCCACCCCGGATGGGCGATCGCTGATGTTAGCAGACAGTGGCAGCGATTCCCAAATTGGCCGGTTCCAGGCAGGTGGATTCGCAGATGATGTAGATGGGTGTGCCTCTTTAGGAGCCGCATCTGCAATGCTCGCCGGTGCCTGTGGAGGATTTGTGCGCCACATGCGCTGAGCTGAATCAGATTCCCAGCCTGCACCACATCGTTGCAGCCAACGACGCCTCGGGCAGTGCGACGCTAGGCGCCCTCGAGGTGCAACCTGTTGCAACCTCGGTGGTTAGAGTTCTTTCGAATCTAAGGCTTGTGTGCCAGCATGGACTGGAGCAAAACTATGAACAACTGCATGTACTATGGGGATACCAGCATAAGGAAGCTTTCTCAAATCTAAGGAAGGACATCGCACAAGAGCTCAGCCGAAGCGCCCGGAGCTTCATGACAGCCACTCGGCACGAAAATCCCATTAGCTTGTAAAGCCTTACAGTAGAACAGAGCAATCCTCCCAAACCCTTGAGGCAAGTGTGCGTGCTTGTGTGTCAATGCTGCACGGCTGTGTGCGATGGAGTCGGCCTTAGGCCACGGGCTTCACAACTCAACCACAGGCACGGAGCGTTACAGGTTACTTTGGAGTTATGTGAAGCTCGGGGCTAGTGCTCTTAAGATCCAAAACGGTCCCAAGTATTTAGGTTTAGGGTGTAGACGCTATCCGCATCTTAGGTGGATGTTGTGGGTTCTAAGACGAATCGTAACCCTGATACCAACCCCACTGCCCCCGCTTACCCCGTCACGCACTAGCTAGAACCTGTCCTTTGTTGTTGGAGCTTCCCTCACACCACAGCAGTTTTCGGTACTGTGCATGACCAGCTGACCTCTTAGCACATGCCGAAATGCCCATGAGGGTGAGCAACGATTGGTGACCTTGTGCATGGCGTGGAAGCAGGTCGTGGTCGAGTTCCAGAGCAGTTGGCTCGCCGACGGGGCGCGGCTAGACATTCAGGACTGTTACTGCGAGGTAATGATGCAGGGCACCTTGATTGCTTTGTTGTGGCCGGAAGGCAATCTTTCGGGTGAACACGGAGGCTTAGAGTTTTGTTCTGGAATTCCAATCTACATGCATGTAGTATACTCGTCGGTATTTGCAGTCCTGATCTCGGAAAGAGTGTGCCGCGGCTCTCTTTGTCACGGCCCATGCAGCTGCCCGATGCTCCAACAACGGCACGTTTTTGACAGCTTCGTGTGTACGCTGTTTTGCTCCCATCAACCAATGTGTGACAGTGCACATTCTTGTGCCGAACTTGCTTGATGGTGATGCTTGATGATATGCCTCAGCATCCCACTTTTGGTTGTCCTGTGGCGACATGGTGCATGCCTTGAGGATCTGCGTGCGGGCTACGCAGAGGTGCCTCAGGCGAGGAATAATGTGGGTATTGAAGTGCACAAATGTGCTTGTCTGCAATGCATACGCCCATGCCAGTTGATGTATCTTGAGCGCAGGATGTACTGAAGGGTGTGACCTTCAGTGTTGAGCCGCGTATGAAAGTGGCGGTGGTTGGTGCCTTGGCTATGCTTAACAGACATGAGTCATTAGTTTCTCGCATTTGCGTTTGCCTGCTGGTACTGTAGCACCCTGCGGACTTTGAACAGTGGCAATTCGAGGCACCACCGGCTGTGGAAAATCTAGTATGCTGTCCCCCGTCTGCACATAAATCACGCGAGTGTTCCCACTTGTGCCTTCGACCACTCAATGTGCCTTGGATCCCGAAGCCTGGCTACGGCCATTTTCGCGTACGCTCGCTCTGAAGCCATGAAAGCTTGCTCTTCGAGTCAGCCCTTGCAAGGGCGACCTGTGCCCACATCAGGCTGGCGTTGCTTCGCATCATCGAGCCTCGTGGTGGGAAGATCGTCATCAACGGCCCCTTGGTCTGCGCTGGCTGAGAAGCAAAAGTACGCAAATCTCCCGACCGGGGCTTGTTCCTTTACATCGGCTGTCTGAAGGAAGCCGCCCTTTCATCGTTGGGGATTTCGTAAGACCCCGCACGAAAGAAACGCCGCATGTCAGAGGCATTGACACCCAAGAGATTGGCCTGGCCGTGGGCTCAGCGTGGCTTCGTTTGCTGCCAACAAGCTTGGGATGCAGAAGGATTGGGTTGGTCCTTGGCTTTTCATGTTGTCAGTGTAAGAATAGTAGCCATAGGCATCCTGGTGATGATGAGCCATGTGAACCCGCTATCACCGCCTTCGTTGATAAACGAGGGCTACGAGACTCCAAGTCTCCATCCCTTGCATCATCTCAAAAGGGCCCTACATAGGCCCGCCAAAAGAGTCTGCCAAAATCCCAGATCCCTCTCAACCGGTTCCTAGGCCCCTTTTGCTTCAACCACCAACTCACGTCCCAACACAACAAAACCACCAAACAACAAAGACCAGAGGAAAGAGCACCTTGCTGAGGCCACTCTCCGCAGCTCCCTGGGCCTGGTGCCGCAGGAGCTCTACAAAGGGCTAAGGGGCTAAGGGCTTCGTCTGCAGAGGGCTTTGCAGGGCTGAGGTGTTTGTTGAACCGGCACCGGCTGGCTTTGTTACTCATACTCATGCTCCTGACATCCTGACCGCCCTTCTCTTCCTCTGCACCGGGCAGGATCCCATGCTGTTCACGGGCACCTTGCGGCACAACCTTGATCCATTCAAGGCTCCCCAGCTTCATCGAATAACGATGTGATTCAGACCTTGGGAGGTCTTTAAGAGCACACATAAATAAATATAAATAACGGTGCGCCGGCGAGAGGCCGCGGCACCTTTCTGTGCTTTGCAGCACATCCGCTCGCATAGTACTCGTAGCAGTTGAGCCCTGTGGGTGCTGCTGCAGCACTGCAAGGTGTACACTGATGGCCGAATTCGGCTGCTCAGCTTGCACTTGGGCACAAGAGAAGCTGCAGTGGCCACCTGCGGCGGCAGATGCCATTGTGACGACTCAGGAAAGCAGTGCAGTACGCCCATTTGGAGGCCTTCATCAATACCTTACCTCTGGGCAGCTTGGTTGCATGACCTGCGTTCGGTGCACGCTGTTTCTGGGTCTCGTGGTCTCCTGAACGCACGCGTGGCAAGCTGCAGCATGTGCAGGCTTGGACCACGTGGTTTCAGACGAAGGCCTTGCACTACCTTGACTTCTGGCATAGGAAACTCTCAGCTGCTCACGTGTGCATCATGGCAGGGCGAAAGTTCCCACAGGATAGTCTCCAGGGCACCAGATGTCAGCTGAGAAGGTGGCAATCTTAGCTTCGGCCAGCGGCAGCTTCTGTGCCTGGCGCGCATGGTCTTGAGGCGGGTGTGTTCTTCGATTTTTTTTTGTGGGCTTGTGGGTTTGGGGAGTGCGGTCTTTTGGGGCGCCACCTGGCAGGAATGTACTCGTAGAGCTTGAACGAAACAGGTAGAACTTCCCGAAACGCACAGGCAGCCAGCCCTGCTTCTGCTGGACGAAGCGACCTCTGCGATCGATCCAGCGACGCAGGAGAATCGTGCCGCAGGGTGCTACGTCTTGCTGGGCTTCAGAATGTCTATATCCCCCTTAGGAATTATTTTTAATTTTTGTTTATATAAATCCCAAGAGGATAGTAAACATATGAGTTTTTGTTAAGGTTCTAAGGGGAGTATAGCAATGTATCATGTGCTAAGTGCATCCAAGAATCCGAGCTGCCAAATGCCTGGCAGGAGTCCGTGCAGGATACCATCAACCATGCCTTCCCTGGCTCGACCATGCTTGCAGTAGCCCACCGCCTGGAGACCATCATGGAGCACCGGCCCTACCGCGTGGCATTGTGTGGGGTTGGCGTGTTTCTTCGGGTTTCGTTTTGGCCCTGGGGCGCGGCTGACCGCAACGTCTGGAGCTTTGCTGCTACCTTCTGCAGATGCTTTAGGACTCCTGTCATCGCTGCATGCTTAAGTTAGTAAGGAGTCTGACAGTTGCTAAGAAGCGCCAAGTTTAGGGTGTGTGGCAGCTAACTTCTGTCGTCTTCTAAGGTTTGACCAAGTCACGCCCTCAGAGCCAAACCGTGGGAGCCTGGTGTCACGTGGGACCTTGTCATCCGTGTTCTTCGGAGGAGTGCGGAAAATCATTAGCTCATTAACCCGTCACATTTGGTTGTGTTCTTTACACATCCCAGAAGTTCCCGGATGAAGTCGTTGACATGGCCCGTTCCGGATGCAAAAATGCACATTGTTGCTCAATTCATTTTGGAGGCTCAAAGCAGTTCCCGGATCCAGCCATGCAAGGCTCAATTGAGATGTGCCCCCCTCGTGCAGCCCAACACTTCCCGTGGTTCAACCTGTACAGATACACACCCCGCTGTAAACCCTAAACCCTAAACCCTAAACCCTAAACCCTAAACCCTAAACCCTAAACCCTAAACCCTAAACCCTAAACCCTAAACCCTAAACCCTAAACCCTGGGGTCGGCTAGGCGGGTGGCAAAAAAAACCCTAAGCCCTAAACCCTAAACCCTTAACCTTACACCCCAAAGCCTGGCCTAAACCCTAAACCCCGGTGCCCCAGGTTGTAGTGCTCGACTCTGGAATGGTGGCAGAGGAGGCCGGCAAAGCTTGCCCCCAGTCGGTACCCGTAGTCTCAGTTTTAGAGACGAGGTTCCCTTCTAAGCTCTGTTAAGCAAGGATACCCTTGCGTATACAGACAAACGTAAGTAAATGAATGGATATAAAATTAAGAAACACAAGTTTAATATGAATGCACAATAACTAACATATATATATATATGTATAAATATATACATACATACATACATACATACATACAGAGCACTCAAAACAGGTTGAAACCACAGCAGGGCATGACCCCCAAACCCGTGAAGCGGAGCTTGCCAGGGCTCAGTGAAGGAGGTGGCCGCAAGGCCGGATGGCATCTTCAAGCGTTTCCCGGATGCAGGGCCGTAATCCGAAATGGCTCGGCTGGGGTTTCAGGAATGCTTCTTGCAGGTTAGATTGGTTGGTTCAGGGAATGCGGGAGCGATAGACCCCACCACAGCTTCGGGGGCTCCAAACATCTTGGGTTGGAGTGTTTGGTTCGGAGACCCGGGAGCTCACAACTGCAGGAAGCCTTGTAGCACACTGCAAGGAAGTACTGGTGCTTGTTCTGCGAAGGTTTTGAACGCCCCCAGCTTGCCGGGTCTTTCGGTTCGCGCGCTCTCATGCGTCAACCCTGAACTTCTCGGCTTTCAACCCAGGCATGCTCGAAGCAAAAGAGCTGCTTGGCTGTTCGATTGTCGTTGCTTAGGACAGACTTAGGGATGTTCCACAGTTCCCCCCCTCACCACTGCAGCCACAGAGTCTACAAGTACATGATCATTGAGGTTTCGGTGCACGTTGCTTGGTGTGATCTTCGCACTGCTTCTCAGGAAGTGGTGAGAATCGGTTTGAGACGACCTTGACGGGCTCCAACTTGATTGTGGCCTAGTGCCGCGCTGTCCTTTTGCTTCGCGCGGTATCTTTCAGGCATCTCATGTGGAGCTGTCTTGATTTTTCCTCCTTCGTGCCTTTCTTGCCCGAAGTGGCGCTGAGACTGTTCGACACAGTTCGCTGGAAAAGGGAGTGTGAAGAATGGCACTGCCGTCGCTAAGTAGACCACCCCATACCAGAACCTAGTGACGAGCGCAGTGTCCCCCGCCACCTTCATCGCTCGCGCCGGCGCCTGGCTCCCAGAAGAAGACAACTGCAGAGACAGTTGGAGTAATTCAGCCTTTTGTCGTCGGGATGGCAAGCTGCTTGGCTTCGCAGGAGCACCATTTTCGTGCGCGGTGAATCTCCTTCTCAGCATCTCTCGGCACTAGTAGTTGCTAGCACAGGCGCCAAAGGGCTGCCTCTGAAATTACGGTTGCCGAGACTACTCTGTCCCACATGCCAGAAGTGGGCTTATTGTCAGAAGGCCGCACCGATCTCGCACGACGTATGCAAATCCGAGCTGCCCAAATTTCATACTGCTACATAGTGCTGATCCCGAACCGCAAGTTGCACTTCACGGAGCCGAGTCCAAGGTGGTGCGGTTCCAGACATGCGGGCACATGAGCCGGGTCCTCAAGATTTGGGCCTGTCAAGAAAGGTGTCAAAGAGGCCTTATTCAATGGAGTAACGTCTTGACCTGGCGTTCAGAATGCTCTAGAACTAATGCTCAGCACCCCCGACCCCGAAATGTCTGCTTAGATCATCGGCAGCTTGCCAGTAGCATCCAGTAGCCACTGTAACCGCTAGCTGCCATTAACAAGACCTCTGGCCAAGACCGCCGCGCGAGATGGCACGACAATCCACACAAGAGGTTCAAGAACCTTGGATAGCACATGATAGCACAATGGCCATGCGGCTGCTGCGGGGATCCAGGCATGTGTCGTAGAGATGCGACGACTTCAGGCTTTACGAGCAGGGCAGTCGAACTCCTAATTTCTGGCCTCGGGAGGCTTTCGGGTTTTCGGTTGCGGCCCAGGGCCTCTCCTGAAAGGGTCAGAGCTGCGTCAGCGCACGCCCTGAAGTGGCCCTTGCATCCTGTGTGTTATGGGCCACTGCCTGCAATATAGTTTTTTGTTGAGGGCTTACCGTTTGGGTTTGGTGTATGCCTCTATGAACAAGCAAAGCCCAGGCACTCTTCGATGCACAGATGAGGCCAGCCAGCATGGACCAAGGGCTACAGGGCGGGGGGTGATGATCCAAATAAGCCCAGGCCCATAATAGTTGTGATGTGGAACAGCCCCCACACACGAGCTGCCTGCTTGCAAGCGTTAGATCTGGCACCTCATGAGGAGCGCTTGATCGCTGGGCTTACTGTTGGTTGGCAGGGAAGGCGGGAATTAGGGCCCCATACAATCCCTGACAGGGTATATATATATATATGAGGCAGGAACCTTTACGTATGATTTGACATAGGTCTTTTGTTTATATACAATGGACTATTTAAACCCTAATCTCTTTGGCCAGACACTTTCTGTTGCTGGCTCCTCCTGCCACAAAAGCAGAAGCATTTAAACCTTTGGAAGCTATTATAACTACTACATATTTAAACTTCAGCAGTTCAACCCTTGTTTTTTTTGAGAGAAAGGCAGTAACCACAGAATTGACGAGATTTCGGGCTTAGGGTAATGGACGGAAGGTTTCTACAAAGAAAGGGTCTAACCGAGTCTAACCACAGAACTTGACGAATTTGGTGTGTAGGGTTTAGCCGAAGGCTTTTGAAGAGAAAGGGTCTAACCGACGCGCTTTTCTATACCGTATTGTTTTTACAAAACCCACAGAAGCTACCTGAAACTAAATTGCACAACGTTCGTTTCGGTTGCTTCTTTATGTTTGCTGTCTTTGTTGAATAAGTTGTTCTTTCCGTAGACCTTGCGCTATTTCTCTTTTCTCAATGCATTTTGTTTTGTTGTTGCAGAACAACAAACTCTAATCGAAACTAAGTTGCTCAACTTCAATTCCTTTTTTTCTCTCTCTGAAAATATGGTGGTTTCCATAGCCTTGTGCTGCTGTTCAATGCATTTTGTTTTGTTATTGTAGTATGAGCCACAGAATTCAATCGAAAGTCATGTGTCTAGGTCATCTGAAAGCTCTTTTATCTCTGTGTAGGTAATGAGTGCCCTTGCCTCTTCTGAAAAGGGTCCTCCAAGGGCTCCCCTCTCTCCTTCTTCTTTTTTGGGGAATGACAGAGCTCCTGATTTACACCTTATGAAAAAGCCTTTCTCCTACTTGAAGAAGTGTTTCCTAGAAAGAGATAGAGGAGATCTTCCATTTCCTCGAGAGACAGATCTTTCATTGAAAACAAACACAGGAGGACTTTCATGTCCCATTAAGAGAGAGAGGAGCTCTCTCCTGCTGCATTAAAAGATAGAGGACATCGTTCGTGTCCAGCTTTCATTTCCCATAAAGGAGAGGGGGGAGGGGGAGGGGGGGGGTGGCCGGCTTAAATAGGGTTTATTTGGAAGCTGAGGGTCGTGTTGTGGTGTGGTAGATAGAAAGGAAAGGGCATGAGAAAGTTGCTAGAGGAGCTCTTCAATTCCCTTCCTTATCTCCTGTGCTCTTTTCCTTCTTATTGCAACAGGAGAAGACAGGAAAAGGGCTTCCATTCCCATCTTGTTCTTCCTTTCTTGTGTTTTTGTCATTTAGAGAGGAACAGGAGAAGAGGAGGGAGAGAGAAGGAGAGAGGAGAGATACAGGGAATCCAACTTCAATGGAATAGCAAAGAAAAGAATAGAAGAGAGATGAATAGAGAAGAGGGAGAGACAAAACAAGGCGCTGAGAAGATGGCACTCTTCTTTATCGTTCCTCCCTCCCTTATCTCTCCCTTCCCTCTTTCTTTTCGAAATAAGAACAACTAAACAGGAAGAATTATGCAAAGGAGAACAGTAAGAAAAAAGAGCAGAAGAGATAGGCCGAGAAGAGGGATATGATGAAGTACGGCAAGGTCCACGCGCAAGGAGTCACCCTCTGCCTTACCTTCCACTGCTTTATCATGCAAGTTCCTTTCTTGTGTTTTATCAGTTAAAAGAAACTAGAAGGAGAGAAGGGAAAGGGACGTGAGAGGGGAGAGAGATAGCAAGGAGGCCACTTATTTTTCTGGAAGGGTACTGAACAGAAGAGAGGAGACAAGAAACAAGGAGACGGAGGAACGCAACAAGGCACAAAGGAGATGGCACTCTTCTTTATCTGTAATCTCTCCCTTCTTTGTCTCTCCCTTTTCCCTCTATAATTAAACAAGACAAGACTATTCTTGCTCTTCGCAGATAGGTGCCCCCTCTCCTCTTCAGGAAGCCCCCTTGCCCTCATTTTGCTTGCTTTCTGAAACGACAAGGAAGCAACACATAGAACGAGAGGAAAGGTGGAGCTCTTCAATTTGTTTCCCTATCTCTTTTTTCTTTTCTTTTTTCATTCAAAAAGGCAAAGAAGCTTCCTTTTGTGTGT